TAACTTTGTTATATTTTTCCATGTCCAATTACAATTGTCTCATGAGCTATTTCTATTGTTGCAACTTTCAGAGCCTGCAGAACATGCAGAGCGTTAAGAGGTTTTTCCTAAAAGGATCCATTTCCAACTTTAGTGTTTACCACGTGGTCTGTACTTCGGGCTTATCACAGATTGTGTCCCCTATATCTCTAATGAGCTCTTGTTACCTTAAAAATGTTTATTTTCCTTATTTTTTCTTTTTCAATAAAGCCAGGTCGGATTCATTAAAAATGTAAATTAGTCTCAAACTTTAATACTTCACCTTTGTTTCACGATAAAATGTTTTTGTGAGCTTGAGCGTTCCTCTGCCTTTAACGCCTCCTCCGGTAACAGTCCTTCGACCCATGTCTCAGCTGGTGCGAGCGCCGCCGTGGTTGGGGCGTGGGGCTGGTGCTGGGGCTTTGAGGCAGAGGGAGAGCGCGGAGGAAAGCGCCGACAGACCTGGACAGGGAGAGGAAAAGGGGACAACAGTAGTCTGCTCATTTTTTAAAAACCCAACGCCTTGTTTGGGTGCACACTTATTGTTAGTAGGGGAAAAAGGGCGGTAGGGTGGGGGGTGTGTGGGATGTGTGTGTGTGTGTGTGTCCGCCTGTGTGTTCTCCGCTTCGGTGAAAAGCGGAGGAGCTATTGTTTTTACATATTTCTTTCTCTAACGTCTTTTGCCGTGATATTCTTAAAACCAAGTATATTTTTTCTTCCCTTCTTCTTCTAAATTACCACGCAAGATGCGTAATTGATTCGGAGACATAGAGCCTCCATCGGAAAAAGCCAAATGAACTGCACCATAGGCAAGCACTCCATAGCTTTAGATCCGAACTGTTTTCCCATGGCCATTGTAACGGGGGACGTCAACATTCCCCTCGGTGTGGCATCTCTAGATTGATTTTTCCCCATTTTCTCGTACAGAACAATGGACCTAACCCGTTTAGTCTCTCCCTGCTCTTACCCACTTTGGAGCGCTCCGTTCCCCCCCCGCTGGTTCTATACCCAACGAGCGCGCGTTCTTGAAACGGAGCGGGTCTGGCTGAAGACACTAGAGAAATTATCAGGGTCGCTTACTGAGCGATACTAACACGCAGCCGCTAGCTTCAATCTAGAACAAAAGACCCCAAAAAATCCCGCACACAGTCTATGCTGTGGCAATGAATGAAATACCCCAAACAATACATAAATAAACAAATCCCCGTGTACACTTAAGTGCTGCCCTGGGCTCGTTACGCAGATGAAAAGACAAAACTCACCAAATCAGGTTCTTTTTGGTCTTGTGTGGCCAAAGATTCCTTTCACGCGCAGGACGAGCGCGCCCTCCTTGTCTCCAAATAGAGCAGAGGCTGGTGTTGTTTCTAGGTCGGCCAAACGCAGCCGCTCGTCCCCGCCGAAAGGATCCATGCCAAATAGACCAGAGTAAACAAACACATATCTACTCTAGATATTACATAAATGAAGTCAACATTGATATGTGTTGCTCAAGGCTTCTCTTTACGCCTCCTAACGCTGATACAACTCTGATATATGTAACAATCTGCTTTTGAACTGAACATATTGTTCTATGACCCAGGTCAAAGACATGATGCAGCACGTCTCCATCTATCACTGACCCGCTGCCAACAGAGCACTATGGCCTGTATCTGAATCCAGAGTTGACTATTAGTTAATAACTTACACTCATAACTATTTGGTGTTAATTCAGATTGCTTTACTAAAATATTTCTATAACAAGATGATGAGTGTAAATTGGGAGCAGTGATCGGCTCTGTTCAAAAACACCTGTCCACAGACGCGTTTTTCTCTGGAACACAATGGACTCATCATTTGCATGAATCCTGCTCCGGAGAAAAACAAAAGAGTGTTTTCAAAATGGATTTAAAATGTGAGGTTTGGTGAAAGACACGAAGGCAAAACCAACATCTTGTCTTCAATTCATTTCAATGCATTTGTTTATAGGCCTCCTCCACAGCAGCAGTCCCCTCAGAGGACTTCACAAATGTGTCAATCAGAGACTCAAACTGTTAGGACACAGGAAATTCAATAATAACAAACACATAGAGCCATTGGTCGCTAGAGAGCAGGACGACCAATGCCCATAAATGTTTATAAATACATTTCTTTAACACTAGGACTCCCAGCATTAGGAAACTACTCGTACCCTCCAAGAGCTGTCATTTTGACTGCTCTTTTTCAAAACAATGAAATGCTGAGAAATTGCACGAAAGAAAACAGTTTTCACTGAATTTTCACTTGAATCACAGCAAAAAGCAGTTTGTTGAAAGGCTAACTGTTAGCTAGTGAACATTATGTTGCTATGGTAACTATTGGTACTGGTACTGGCTCTGCTCGTGGCAAAGGTAGAACTACTCTAGATACAAAAAAGAAAAAGATATTTTCAAAATAAAATAATGATATAGAAAAAAACTATATAAACTAAAAGAGTCACAAAGTGATGAAGATCAAATATACGCTAGGTAAAAAGAGTTCTAGACTTAAAGATAATTATTCAAGATGTTTTTTACATTGGCAAGGATAGAGCAAAAAAGCTCAAAAAAAATATTTTTTAGCATAAACTGTGTCCTTTGAAAAATGCATTAAACACAAATCCCAGCGAGAGAACTCTGCCTCATGTTTGAATCTGGGCTGTTTTTTCCTGATGGATTTGCTTCCATTTGAAAAAGTCCCAGCGTAACATACAATTACCACAGCAGCTGCCCAGACGGATCCCGGCACCTGCACTACACCAGTCTGAAAGGCGGGATTGACAAAAGCCGTTCGGATCTGGTCTGTGAAACGATCGTGGTCTTGTTAGTTTCGGCGGTGTGCGATTGTGATTGATGTGGCAGTTTAGGCTTTTACACTCCAGTTCATCTAATTGGCTTTCTCTATGTGAGCCCCGGAGACTGTAGTGAAGTCATCTCTGCCACAAACACACATTACCACCGACTTCTCGCCGCTAAACATTTTTCACTGTATCGGTGCAAGAACGTAGTAGAAAATGTGAAATTATACCAGTTTTGTTACGTCTAGCCTCAAAGGATTCGTTCAAAGGATTTGTTTATATTTGCCTCTTATTTAGTCAAATATAAACATGTAGGAGACACTGGTCCAGAGGGAGCGGATGACCGGAAATGTAAAAAACATACACAAATATCCTTACATTTCTCAAATCACCACTGTCCTTAGACCCTCCTGCATCGACGAGGAATGACTCAAACAAACAAAAAAACAGTGGGGATAAAAGTGATAAAACATTCTCAGACTGTAGAACGAGGACTGAGGTGCAGCGTGGAGGGAAGTCCAACCCATGGGTCTTCAGTAACATATAACGTTTTAATTTGCAAAAACAGATTTCTTGGTTTTGAAAAGTTGTCAAAATGTTGGTCCATCTAGCAGCAAAATTCTTCATGTGTTTTTAGAGGCAGCTCATTTGAAAGAATTTGCTCAGAGAGAGGTGAAAATGTATTAGTATAGAACATAGATGTACCTTTTTTATAACCAACCTAATTGACCTGTTTCTATATTATACATTTATCAACATTTGAAATAATAATCTAAAGTTTTGTATCAGTTTCCTGCTCCTGTAATATTCTCATTCCCCTTCAAAGTATGTATTTGAAGGAAAAGGCAAGTTTATATGTATACAAAAGGGAACTCCGAGTGCTGAACAAAACAAGATAGAGACAGTCACACAAGGCATTAAAATATGAATAAATAATAAAAAATAATCAAATGACAACCAATCATTACAAGAGTTGAGATACAAACCTTTAGCTAAACATTAGAAGGCTGATAGCGCTTCATTATTTTCTTTATTCACATGAAAAAACCCATAACTAACTTGTAGCTCAAAAAACAGAAAGCGTGAGCCAAATACCAAGCAACATTTTCTCTCCATTTTGACTCCAGCTGGTTTCAACATACAAATAATTTCTCTTTTTCACTATTTCTCCAAAGCAAAATGGAATTGCTCCAACGTCTCTTAATGGAAAAGCCCGAATCGATGGCGGCCTCATTATAATAGGCCGGGGGCATTGAGGTCCCAGCTGTGCACAGAGCAGCGGCCAAACACCCACCGGCCTCACCCTCCCCACACCAGACCAAGTGACCAATCAGCCACCACTCTCACCAGGGGAGATTTACCGCATTTTGGGAAATCTCAGACATTGTGCAATTATGTTACGTATTAACACCAAGCAAGTTGGGGGGGCGACAGTAGCTCAGTTGGTAGAGCATTGGCCTTTGAGCCTGAAGGTCGTGGGTTCAAGCCCACCATAAGACCTACTTCACGACTCCCACTGATGACTGCTGTCGTTGTGTCCTTGGGCAAGACACTTAACCCCACTTTGCCCGAAGCCCCCCATTGAAAGATCTCAGCTCCTGTGGACTCAACACCTGCAGGAGGATCAGTGAGGGGCTGGTGCTCTGTGTACTGGGTGCAGCTTTGACTGCCACCCCCCCAACCCAGAAATGGATTAAGGGGAAGAAAATGGATGGATGGATGGATTAACACCAAGCAGGTCATTCTTACAGTCTGTAGAAGTCGGTATTATTCCATTTTATGTTGGTTTTCTAAAGGACATTTGTCAACATGTACGGACCAATGTGTCTGTGTGTTTTTTATCATTGCATCTCCTGTGTTCGAACAGTCTGATCTGTGCTGAGGAATCGACAGCTTTGTAAAGTCCTCTTTGAGATAACTACTGCTGTGATTTACTGTAGCTTGATACAAAAACAAATTAAATTAAATTGAACTGAACTGAGGGTCGAGGCATATACCGCATCGTGGCTTCCGTACTTTGCCTGGGTATAAATTCAATAACCGTTTTTTTTTTTTGTGTATAGCCCTTAATTTTTGATTCGCCAACAACAGATCAGAGAATCAAACAGTCCAAACACAAAACACATAGAGCCATTGGTCCAACAGGGGCATAAATGTTGATAAATGTGTTTCTGTGTCTTCCACCTGTCAGATTACTACATCCTGGAGAACAACTCTCTGCTGAAGTCGGCTCTCAGGTTTAAGAGGATCCATCTGACCGAGTTCAGGACGGTCCCCATCGAACACTTTGGTGAGAGTCCTTTTCAAACTTTATGAGATATGAAAATATAAGACATTTATCACCAGCTCTCGTTCTGCTTTTGCCTTCACAGATTTACCGCTGAAGATTTTGTACCCACCAGACTTCTCAGAATCAAAGCACTATGGACTTTTGTTCGTCATGTAAGTATGGACTATAGCTTTTGGATTTTTGGTTTTTCAAGATGATATTTCTGATGATTGTTTTCAGAAAGATGGGTGTGTCAGGTGCTTATCAGGATCTGCAGTGGAAACACGCAGGCAATGTGTAAGAAAAGAGGAAATCTGAGGCAGTCTTGAAAGTAAAGTAAAAATCCGGGAACTAGCAGGGACTCATCAGGGCATGTATTAGGGGACAGGGTTCCAGGTGTGCTCGAAATATAGGCAGTACCTGTCACATGACACCTTATGTGACAGGTACCTGGGGCTTGGTTGCCACCCTCATGACACAGCTGGCAACCAACCCCCGGTGATCCAAGACCTGCAGCCTGTTCAAATGAATGGCTTGTGCTCACTAATCTTTCCCCCCATGGGGGCCAAAGGATTAGTGAAACTCGCCCACATTTGGGAATCGTCTTATCCTCCTGGTTCTGCGCAGTGGACGAGCTCCCATGATGCTTTGCGCCAACTATGCGTGTGTGTCTCTCATGCACATGGACAGAGAGGCATTCACGTCGCTGACACCAGTAAAGAGAAGTATTCTGCACCCAAACTGGTCTGACGCCTCTGGTCTCAGTCTACATGCGAGTTCTGTTTTCACACCTCAATGGTTGCGTCCAGGTTTACATGCTTATTACTCAATTGCTCTGATCTCCGCTTGTTCAGTCTGCCAAAGCTTCATGGAAGGATGTGTACAGATACTACTTGATACTTTTGTGGTCATGTAGTTATAAAACTCTTGTTCCCCTCCCTCAGGGACAGCGCCCCCGGTGGTCAGCTGGTGAGTGAGCAGTTCTCTGTGGACTGGGACTCGGTGCTGGTGAGTTCGCACAGTGTGGTGGTGGCTCGGCTGGACGCTCGGGGCAGTGGCTTCCAGGGACAGAGACTCCTGCACGAGCTGCACCACAGACTGGGGACTGTGGACCTGCAGGACCACATCACCGCCGTGGAGTAAGTACCGACCGAAACATTTATCCAACGAAACATGTACCAAACAACATGTGGTGCAAGCATATCAGCGCACGTTGTTTTGGACCTTTTTGAGCCGGGACCCGCCCCCACTAGTAATAACACTTCAAACAAAAACCAAAACCTGTCAAATTGACATAAAATCAATATGTGCGTCTCAGATTCAGATTCAGTTTATTTGCCATTTGCAGTAAAAACACCACATTGGAATACCACAATACCATTGGAATAGTCACCAGTGTGCACAGACAAATACAGACATAAATCAACATTAAAAGACAAAAATAAAACAAATAAAACAGTAAACAAATGTCACTGTGAAATTGATTGACTAAAACAGTTTCAAAACAAGTGCAGTCTCCAACTGTTAACAACTTGAAATGATTCAGGTACACATTTCACATCAATAACTTCAATGGACCTTTATTTTGTTCAAAAGCTTCTGTATTAAGCAGCTTCTTCACTAATTAAATCCTCAACCATTTCATGTGTTGTGTGAATCTGGTGGATTTTCACTTCTCTCTGAGCCTCTCTCCTGTGCTTTCTGCAGGTACATGCTGAAATTTCCATTTATCGACCGCACCAGGATAGCGCTGTTCGGGAAGGTGAGCCCTGGGCCTTGATTCTGTCTGATTTATTCACATACGTCAGAGCTGCAGGCGGCCGACTCTTACAGCCTCCTTCAAAGCAAACACCATCTCCTGGACCTTTATTGTTATGATTAAATAGAATATGCTTGACTAGTAATCAGACTTAATAAAGGGATATTTGTAATTGATTGCTCCGGAAAATGGCTTTATCCCTCACTGCTGATTTTCATTTAGTTGGTTCATATAATTTGTTCATCATAATAAGGATTTGTAATTATACTGTACCTCTCTGGTCTCTCTCTCTGGTCTCTCTGGTCCTCTCTGGTCTCTCTGGTCTCTCTGCTCTCTTTGGTCTCTTTCTGCTTTGTCTGATCTCTCTAGTCTCTTTGTGGTCTCTTGCTGGTCTTTCTCTGGTCATCTCTCTGGTCTCTCTCTGATCATCTCTCTGGTCTCTCTCTCTGGTCTCTCTCTCTGGTCTCTCTCTGGTCTCTCTCTGGTCTCTCTCTGGTCTCTCTCTGGTATCTCTCTGGTCTTCTGTCTGGTCTCTTCCTGATCTCTCTCTCTGGTCTCTCTCTCACTGATCTCTTCCTAGTCTCTCTCTGTGGTCTCTCTCTCTGATCTCTTCCTAGTCTCTCTCTGTGGTCTCTCTCTCTGGCTGCTCTCTGGTCTCCCTCTGGTCTCTCTCTAGTCTCTCTCAAGTCCCTCTCTGGACTGCAATGAGCATAACTTTCTTATAGCTTGAAGATGCAATAGTTTTATTTGGATCACTGTGTTTGTGGCAGGGTTACGGAGCGTACTTGGCCTTGATGCTGATGAAGTCCACTGACAGTTTGTTCAAATGCGCCTGCGCCATGTCCCCAGTGACGGACTGGAAACTCTACGGTGAGAACTGCTTTTATACAATGGAATTAACTGCTGTTGTTTATCTCAAGGAAGAATTCAAAACATAGTGTATAATTACTTCTGCTTAATGGTTACTTGGATACAAACTGTGTAGACTGTAACTATGTATATATCAATGTTTCTATAATGTAAGTAGGTTTGGGGACATGCTACTGGTCGTGCTAACCCTAACCATTTCCTTTTAAAATGACTTAGAATTTGTGGTCAGAATAGCAACCACCTCCCATCATTCAGGCACACTCCTGATTCATAATATTTCTCTGAAGTGTCTTGCTTAAGGACACAGTGTGGCACTTTACAGTCACAGACACTGGTCTCCCATCACACAATACTAACCAGGCCCTGCCTTGCTTAGCTTCTGACGAGATCTGGCTTTCACAAACAGTTGGCCCCACAGTGGAATATACTCAGCTGTTTTTTTTTTTTTTTTTTTTGTAATATAAGAGAAAAAAACACTTTCAGTTTACAGCCTGGTTCTTACTTTGTCCCCTCTCTCTCTCTCTCTCTCTCTGTTTATCTTTCTCTCTGTTTCTCTTTCTCTCTCCCTCTCCTCCCTCTATCTCTCTGTCTCTCCCCCTTTTTCTCTCTGTTTCTCTGTCTCTCTTTGTCTCTCTCTCTCTCTGTCTGTCTCTGTCTGTCTTTTTATCTTTCTCTCTCACTGTCTCTCTCTTTCTCTCCCTCTGTCTCTCTTTCTCTCTCTCTGTCTCTCCTCTCTCTCTTTCTCTCTCTCTGTCTCTCCTCTCTCTCTTTCTCTCCCTCTGTCTCTCTCTTTCTCTCCCTCTGTCTCTCTTTCTCTCTCTCTGTCTCTCTTTCTCTCTCTCTGTCTCTCTCTCTGTCTCTCTCTCTCTATCTCCCCTCTCTCTTCCTCTCCCTCTGTCTCTCTTCCTCTCCCTCTGTCTCTCTCCCTCTTTCTCTCTCTCTCTGTCTCTCTTTCTCTTTCTCTCCCTCTGTCTCTCTCTCTCTCTCTCTCTCTTTCCAGCCTCCGCCTTTTCCGAGCGATACCTGGGGTTACCGCTTCGAGACGACAGCCGGTACCAGGTACATATATTTCATCTGTGTTTCCTCCCACATGCAAATCCACAGCCTCCGCCTCCAACCGCGGTCTCTCTCGCTCTGTAGGGTCTCTCTCGCTCTGTAGGGTCTCTCTCGCTCTGTAGGGCCTCTCTCGCTCTGTAGGGTCTCTCTCGCTCTGTAGGGCCCTGTCATTCATCTGAGCTCCTCTCACAGACCTCCCACAGACAACATCTTTTTTTGTGTAAAGCAGTGTTAAATCAAGTGGAAAGAAACAGCAGGAGCAGTGGAAGAATTTGTATCATAAATGTGGAAAATGCTGGAATGAAGGAAGTTATGGACTAAGTGAGTGTTTTGAAGGAAATGGTGGGGTTAAAAAATGCTGATATGTCGGAATGTCTGGGAAATGAAAAAGAGGGAAATGCTGGTACAGAATGTTAATTAAATTCTTCAGATTCAGTTTATTTGCCGTTTACAGTAAAACCTCACGTGCAAAAGTCCCCAGTGTGCAGCAGACAAATATGTCAAATAAAGCAAGGTCCAAGAACAAGAACCTATTGTCACGAAATCAATCGACAAAAACCGTTTCAATGCAAGATCGTTTAGGTTCCTCAGAAAGACGAGAGACTGACGAGACCTCAGGTTTCCTCAATGTGCTTATCCCCTACCTCCGAAAGCATAAAGTACATCTTTCTCTCTCTCTGATCTCTCTCTCTCTCTCTGATTTAACTCTCTAGTCTCTCTCTCTGAGCTCTTTCTGATCTCTCTCTGGTCTTTCTCTCTCTCTGGTCTCTCTCTCTCTTTGGTCTCTCTCTCTGGTTCATCTCTCTGTTCTCTCTCTCTGGTCTCTCTCTGGTTTGTCTCTCTGTTTTCTCTCTTTCTGGTCTCACTCTTGTCTCTCTTTCTGGTCTCTCTCTGGTCTCTCTGGTACTTCTCTCTGATCTCTCCCTCTGGTCTCTCTATTGTCTCTCTCTCTGGTTTCTCCTACTGATCTCTCTCTCTGGACTCTGTCTGGTCTCTCTCTGGTCTCTCTATGGCCTCTCTCTGGTCTCTCTATGGTCTCTCTCTCTGGTTTCTCCTACTGATCTCTCTCTCTGGACTCTGCCTGGTCTCTCTCTGGTATCTCTCTTATATCGGACCGTGAACAGAGCAGTCTATCTCCTGATTGGTTGCTACATCGTTGCTACCTGTCGTGAAGAAGCAGATTTATACTAGATAAAGTATAAAACAGAAAAAAAAAAAAATCTTTAGCTTTAGCATGCAAGGAAGCAGTCTATAACCTAATATGTTTTCAGTGCAGTCGACCAATCGTCAATACCTAAAAATCCTTGTTGAATGTTGTTGATTGGACACATTTGCGATCGTCCCTTGGGAGAATGTGAGCAAACCCTGCTGTAAAGTCTGATAAATGTATTTCCTGGTGTGTTTTATTGGAATGTCTCTGAATGTTGTTTCCTGGTTGCAGTTTTCCAGCGTGCTGCAGAACGTCCAGGCGTTCCGGGATCAGACGCTGATGCTGGTGCACGGAACAGCAGATGGTGAGAGACCATTATTACAAATATGACAATGTTTTACCCTGGATTTTGAGTCATTCTGAGGCACAGAGTCACTGCCGTCAGGAAGAGGACAAGGAAAATGAGTGTTTGATTTTTGATAACCATAACCCAAATGGAAGCAGCCTCTCTGTTCATGTCTCCTCATATCATATCACAAAAACAGTAAAACAGTTACTTTTATTTAAAGTCAGAAGAAATCTTTTGTGGCTTGTGTCTACCGTGGTGATTAGTTAGGAGGACTTAGTCTCTGATGTCTATCTTGTCTCTCTCTGGTTTCTGGTCTCGCTCTGGTCTCTCTTTCTATTCTCTCTCTAGTCTCTCTGGTCTCTCTCTGATCCCCCTCTGGTCTCTCCAGTCTCTCTCTGGTTTCTCTCTGCATGGTCTCTCTACGGTCTCTCTCTGATCCCTCGCAGGTCTCTTTCTGATCTGTCTCTGATCCTTCTCTGGTCTCTCTCTGGTCTCTTTCTGATCCCTCTCTGTTCTCTCTCTGGTCTCTTTTATGTGTCTCTGATCCCTCTCTGGTCTCTCTCTGATCTCTGTATGGTCTCCCACTTCGATCTCACTCTTTGGTTTCTCTCTGATATCTCTGGTCTTTGTTCCACAAATTTTCAGAAAAAATAAACTTAAATTATACAAGAAAGGACAAGGACAGAGGTTTGTTTAAGATTTCTCATACAGAGGCTTTCTCCCTGACGTCAGCGTTCACCCCTAGGGCCTGGAGGAATTGAATGAAAAGTCAAACAAACAAACTTGAGTGTCTGCTTTTGCTGACTGGCCGCTAAACCAGGGAGAAACGTGAATGGATCTTTTTCCTCCTATTTCTCCCAAAATCTGATTTGTTTGTTTCCTAAGTTCTTCTTCTGTGTTTTGTTCTGCAGCAAACATTCACTTCCAGCACACGGCGGAGCTGGTAAAAAACCTGGTGAAAGTGGGAGCCAACTACTCCATGCAGGTGAGATCACAGACGCAGAGACAGCTTCACCCGCTCTGGGCTGGGACTGGGCGACATTCCAAAACTCTTATTCTGACACCTGCTCATGTGGGAATTTTAGGAGGTTTTCAGATTCTAAAAATTGATGTTCCTCCACTTGTGAGTAACATCACCTGTAAATAAGACATGCGTGATTATTAAGTGCATCTGTATATACTGTACCTCCCGGACTATAAGACGCACCTGTATACATGCATTAAGAGTTCCGAGCTTCCGGCTCGACCGCACGGCATTGTGGGCAGTTTTCTCAAAAAGGTGGGCATCAAATCACGCTGCCATTTTGGATTACATGTTGTGAACGTGAACTTTCTCTCTTGTTTCCAGCCCATAGATTGTTTTAATAGTTTAAAAATTCACCAATTTGGGTAAGTTTATAAAGCTCGCGTGTAAGCCTTCGATCCTCGTAAGTAGCATAAGCTGCGTGTAGCTCTGTAGTCAGACAGTTATGTTTACATCTAAAACCACAAGAAAAAAATGCGTTACTTTTTTGTTAAATTAAAAAATCTGTACATTACCTTCAAAATGTCTGAAATTGTAATCCAATATGGCATGGTGATTTGATGCCCACCTTTTTGAGAAAACTACCCACAATGCCGTGCGGTTGAGCCGGAAGCTCGGAAGTCTTAATGCATGTATACAAGCCCCACCATCTACATTTGAAAACAAAATAAATGTTGTCCACGTACCTCTCGAAGCAGAAGGAGTTAGTGTTCCTCCTCTGAGCTGTGCTAACCTCTTTATCATACTGCACTGTACTGTACTGTACTGTACTGCACTGCACTGCACTGCACTGTACTGTACTGCACTGCACTGAACTGTACTGTACTGTACTGTACTGTACTGTACTGCACTGCACTGCACTGCACTGTACTGTACTGCACTGCACTGAACTGTACTGTACTGTACTGTACTGTACTGCACTGCACTGCACTGCACTGCACTGCACTGTACTGTACTGTACTGTACTGTACTGTACTAAAGACACAATAGTCTAAAAACATGTACATTAGGTAAATCCAGCTCCGGTAGTGTCCTGACCAAGTCTATCCCCCATCTCTCATGTCTCTCCCCCATCTCTCATGTCTATCCCCCATCTCTCATGTCCACATCTCCCCCATCTCTCATGTCTCTCCCCCATCTCTCATGTCTCTCCCCCATCTCTCATGTCTCTCCCCCATCTCTCATGTCTCTCCCCCATCTCTCACATCTCCCCCATCTCTCATGTCTCTCCCCCATCTCTCACATCTCCCCCATCTCTCACATCTCCCCCATCTCTCATGTCTCTCCCCCATCTCTCATGTCTCTCCCCCATCTCTCATGTCTCTCCCCCATCTCTCTCATGTCTCTCCCCCATCTCTCACATCTCCCCCATCTCTCACATCTCCCCCATCTCTCATGTCTCTCCCCCATCTCTCATGTCTCTCCCCCATCTCTCATGTCTCTCCCCCATCTCTCATGTCTCTCCCCCATCTCTCACTCTCCCCCATCTCTCATGTCTATCCCCCATCTCTCATGTCTCTCCCCCATCTCTCATGTCTCTCCCCCATCTCTCATGTCTCTCCCCCATCTCTCATGTCTCTCCCCCATCTCTCATCTCCCCCATCTCTCACATCTCCCCCATCTCTCACATCTCCCCCATCTCTCATGTCTCTCCCCCATCTCTCATGTCTCTCCCCCATCTCTCATGTCTCTCCCCCATCTCTCACATCTCCCCCATCTCTCACATCTCCCCCATCTCTCATGTCTCTCCCCCATCTCTCATGACTCTCCCCCATCTCTCATGTCTCTCCCCCATCTCTCATGTCTCTCCCCCATCTCTCATGTCTCTCCCCCATCTCTCATGTCTCTCCCCCATCTCTCATGTCTCTCCCCCATCTCTCATGTCTCTCCCCCATCTCTCATGTCTCTCCCCCATCTCTCATGTCTCTCCCCCATCTCTCATGTCTCTCCCCCATCTCTCATGTCTCTCCCCCATCTCTCATGTCTCTCCCCCATCTCTCATGTCTCTCCCCCATCTCTCATGTCTCTCCCCCATCTCTCACATCTCCCCCATCTCTCATGACCCTCCCCCATCTCTCACTCTCCCCCATCTCTCTCTTCTCTCCCCCATCTCTCATGTCTCTCCCCCATCTCTCATGTCTCTCCCCCATCTCTCATGTCTCTCCCCCATCTCTCATGTCTCTCCCCCATCTCTCATTCTCTCCCCCATCTCTCATGTCTCTCCCCCATCTCTCATGTCTCTCCCCCATCTCTCATGTCTCTCCCCCATCTCTCACATCTCCCCCATCTCTCATGTCTCTCCCCATCTCTCACATCTCCCCCATCTCTCACTCTCCCCCATCTCTCATGTCTATCCCCCATCTCTCATGTCTCTCCCCCATCTCTCATGTCTCTCCCCCATCTCTCATGTCTCTCCCCCATCTCTCACATCTCCCCCATCTCTCCATTCCCCCATCTCTCATGTCTCTCCCCCATTTCTCATGCCTCCCCCATCTCTCATGTCTCTCCCCCATCTCTCATGTCTCTCCCCCATCTCTCATGTCCTCCCCCATCTCTCATGTCTCTCCCCCATCTCTCATGTCTCTCCCCCATCTCTCACATCTCCCCCATCTCTCATGACTCTCCCCCATCTCTCATGTCTCTCCCCCATCTCTCATGTCTCTCCCCCATCTCTCATGTCTCTCCCCCATCTCTCATGTCTCTCCCCCATCTCTCATGTCTCTCCCCCATCTCTCATGTCTCTCCCCCATCTCTCATGCTCTCCCCCATCTCTCATGTCTCTCCCCCATCTCTCATGTCTCTCCCCCATCTCTCATGTCTCTCCCCCATCTCTCATGTCTCTCCCCCATCTCTCATGTCTCTCCCCCATCTCTCATGTCTCTCCCCCATCTCTCATGTCTCTCCCCCATCTCTCACATCTCCCCCATCTCTCATGTCTCTCCCCCATCTCTCATGTCTCTCCCCCATCTCTCATGTCTCTCCCCCATCTCTCACATCTCCCCCATCTCTCATGTCTCTCCCCCATCTCTCACTCTCCCCCATCTCTCATGTCTCTCCCCCATCTCTCATGTCTCCCCCCCTCTCTCCTCTCCCCCATCTCTCATCTCCATCTCCCCCATCTCTCATATCTCTCCCCCATCTCTCATGTCTCTCCCCCATCTCTCATGTCTCTCCCCCATCTCTCATGTCTCTCCCCCATCTCTCATATCTCTCCCCCATCTCTCATGTCTCTCCCCCATCTCTCATATCTCTCCCCCATCTCTCATGTCTCTCCCCCATCTCTCATATCTCTCCCCCCCATCTCTCATGTCTCTCTCCCCATCTATCATACATCTCCCCCATCTCTCCCCCGTCTCTCTCCCATCAGATCTACCCAGACGAGGGCCACGTCCTGTCCGAGCCGAGCCTCCACCACCTCCACTCCACTCTGACCAGTTTCTACAGAGATTGTCTGAAAGAGGAGCTGCTACCGCCGTCCGAGGAGGAAGAGGAGGAGGAAGAGTGAAACCAAACCCACTCACACACCTTTTAACAAACTCCAACAAAGAGAAAAAGAGAAACACAACACAACAACAACACGCCTTTGGACCAAGACTTAACAACCTGGACTTGGAACCGTTTTGGATTCCCAGAGCTGAACTGTGAGCTCTGAGTGTGTGTGTGTGTGTGTGTGTGTGACTGTGACTTGTGAGTACATGAATGAATGATGTAAAATATGAAGGACACGTTTTGTGAGTAGAGCTCAGAGGGACTGTAGGGGGCGACGGCGAGCTCACCCACCCTCCTGTTCTTAAAGCACATCCCACGCATCGCTCCGGACTTCGACTCGCAGCCAAACGCATGGGTCCTGTCACTTTAGTCACGTCAGCATCTGTCCGAGGACGCAGCACGAGGGGAAATCTCACTTTTTACATAAACTCCTTGTCGTCTGAGAAAGGTTCCTGGTAAAACTGGACTGAGAGAAATGTAGGGATAGAAACATTTGTATACTTTTATTTATTACGTCTATTTATTTGAGATTTGTGTCTTTGTTTGTGTGCAGAAATGTGGTACTCCTTGATTTCAACTGGAAAAAAATGTATCTTTTGTAGCCTGCCCAGCATTCCTGAGCACCAAGCTTGTTTTTATTCAATTATCGACAAAACAAAATCATTCTTCAGGTTTAATGAGACAAACCTACCGTACATATATCTGTTTCCTTGACTACAGCATGTCACTAATTATTCTTTCCAACTAAAGCAATGAGCACTGCAAAAAGTGGTGAAAAATAGGTTTGAAATGACTCAAATTTGGCAAAATGTATCGTCATTTGATCATCATGCATTTTGACTGAGCCTTAAAACCAGATTCCCCAATGGGCAAAGCAAAAATAATCTTGTTTGAAAAAGATAAAGACATTTCTCCCTTTGAATGAGAAAATTAGGCAACAGTTCTTCAAATAAGATGTCGTTGTCCCATTGGAGAATCTAGTTTTAAATTTAAATGAAGATAAAAAATAAAAACAAGCTTGATTCAACCAATTATTTCCTCATACTTTAGCATTTTTTTGTAACAACTGGGAGGCTTGCAAGACAGTTTTTCACACTGGACAAAGAACCAAAAAAAAAAAAGAACCAATGAGGATAAATCCAACTTTAGATGATGATGTATGAGTTTGTTCAACTGGATCAACCACAACTGTCCGTCAAAGTGCATCTGCAGGCTGCGAATCTGACGTGATGCTAATTTATCCTCCAGAAACATCAAATATCACACTTCCCACTGTTCCCGAGCAACAACATGGTCAAAAGTCATGCGACATTCCCCGTTTCTTTCATGATCTGTAATTCTTTAGATCAATAATGATTGAGAGAAATATAGAAAAGAGACAGTCCAAATGTTGTGTTCTTTCCGGGTGTTTGATAGAGATTAGATTCACAAAGCTGCAGTATTCTCACATTTCAAAGTCATTTCTCCTGACAATATCATGGATTTGTTCTTGTCACCACATCTACTGTATTTCACCTTATGTGAGAAAATGCTTCAACCATGTTCAACAGCTTTGTAAAGTCCTCCGAGACCACTGCGTTTGTGACTTAGGGCTAAAATACATTGATTTGGATTGAATAGTTCAGTAGATACAGTTTTGCGTTCATGTGGAGATTGGCTCACAGATTTCAGAGATATTAGCTATAAATAACTCTAATTTAGACATTTACCACAGTGAAGAGGTTTGCCCTGTGCCACAATGTTAAACTGAAGGCTGTTTGGAACTTTGTGATGTCACGTGAGAGATGGACAGATACTTTATTGACCCCCGTAGGAGAAATATGTGTTTTGAATGTGTCCAGGGTCATATCTCACCCCTCTGGATCTGTGCCTTCCATTTTCTTCCGCTTCATCCATTGCCGCGTCTTTCAACGGTCTGAGCAGAGACGCCCACACCTCCCTCCCTCCACACACGCACTTTCCAGCTCATCTGGGGGAATTGAGGCGTTCCCAGGCCAGTCCTAGTCCCTCTAACATGTCCTGGGTCTTTTCATGAACACATAAGTTAAAAACCATTCCTCAAACAACCCAAGAAAAAGAAAAAGGTATATCCAAGACTGCAAATTTGACAAAAACTGACATTTATCAACAGCATTTACTCCATTAAATTAAATCTACTCCATCTGCTTCTTTCTTGCTGGACAGGCTATTCATGCCACTATTGTCTTTAGCTAATCATTTCTATGTTTTACCTAGCTCTAGATTCATAATTTCCTTCCCTGTTAAAAACCCATAAACCCCACTAAAACTACTGCAAAGCCTTATACTGCGGTTTAATAAAGTCTCATTTTACCTTGTAATCAACTCAGGTCGAGATGTATCACTTCCTGTCGTAGAAGTTGGAATGATAAAAATCCACTTTATTGTCATACATTTGTATTTACATTTAAAGCCGCACTCAAACGCATGCACACTGCTCTCTCATGATTCTGATCTTTATGAATGACCAGCACGGCACGTCTGGCTTGTAATTAAAGGAGTTTTAGTTGTAGTTGGGACTTGCCGCATTTAAAAGAATATAAAAAGCATTGATCTTTGAAGCCAGAGAGAGGCCGGAGAGAGACCAAAGAGAGACCAGAGAGAGACCAGAGAGAGATCAGCGAGAGATCAGAGAGAGACCATGAGACTGACCAGAGAAAGACCATGAGACAGACCAGAGAGAGGCCAGAAAGAGCCCAGAGAGAGACAGGGAGAGAGCAGAGAGAGACCAGAAAGAAACCAGAGAGAGAGATCTTTGATACTTGTATTACGAAGTCTCATGCGGCCTTGTTAAAGTAGACCAGACAGTTTGTGTGATGAATTCTAAATACCTATCTGGAAATGATTTCTAACTAATTTGGCTGCATGTACTAACTGAGGCTTTGATTTCCGGCCAAAAATACACAGTAATTTAAATGTTTTCACTTTCCTCAGCGACCCCAAAATGATTTCTAAGTGTGTGTTAAAATCATAGTATTAAAGCATTTTCAGTTTCCTTTTTCCCATATGTTGAGATGATACGAGTGTGTGACAGGTCAGAATACTTCTGTTGTTGAAGTGCATGAAAGGTCTGTATATTTGACATTATTTCAATTACAGTGGTCCCTTTATTCCCCCTTAAATGAAATGATAAAAATATGCAAAGCAGGTGTAAGGACTAGAGAGAGACAAGAGAGGGAAACCCCAGAGTGATCAGAGAGAGACCAGAGGGAGTCCAGAAAGAGACCAGAGAGGGAAACCCAAGAGAGAGCAGAGAGTGACCAGAGAGAGCAGAGTGAGACCAGTTAGAGAGCAGAGGGAGACCAGAGAGAGACGAGAGGCCAGAGAGAGACCAGTGAGAGAACAGAGGGAGACAAGAGGGAGACCAGAAAGAGCAGAGAGAGACCAGAGAGAGTAGAGGGAGACCAGAGAGAGACCAGAGAGAGGCCAGAGAGAGACCAGAGAGAGGCCAGAGAGACAAGAGGGAGACCAGAAAGAGTAGAGGGATACCAGAGAGAGACCAAAGAGAAAGAGACCAGAGAGAGCAGAGTGAGACCAGAGAGAGACCATAGAGAAAGAGACCAGAGAGACCAGAGTGAGACCAGAGAGAGACCATAGAGAAAGAGACCAGAGAGACCAGAGTGAGACCAGAGAGAGACCATAGAGAAAGAGACCAGAGAGAGTCACTAACTAATCACAGTGGTGCACACAAAAGCTTTCTCCTGACTTTAAAACAAAGGAAACTGGCGCTTATGTGATGTTTTGGGAGTAAACACACACACAATGCATAAGACACTGTAAAAAAAAATAAAAAATGTATATAGAATTCTTGAAACACAAAGGTTGCAAAAGGGACCACTCTGCACCATTGTAACTCCTGGTTTATGTTCCTTCTACTGAATTGGAAATACATCTTCTGTAAATTGACCCATTTTTACGACAGAATCTCTCGTGTTTGATGGTTTTCTTCCTGTAATGTTCACATATGTTCATCTCTTTTTCTGAATCCGCATGTTTATGTTTGCAGCTGCTCCTATCACCAGGTGGAATCCAATCCATAAAACCATAAAAGTGTTTTCTTGCCATCAGCACTATTTCGTGTTTTTCCATCTATCGCATCGTCACTCATTGAAAACAGTTCAATATACATCACTGAACTGTCCGGAACGTATCAAAAACGGTGTATAGAGAATATTTTTGACATCAAGCACCCGTTAGACCCGCCCCCTGCTCACCCCTGCTTCCTGATTGGTCGAATGAAGGGACTATTTCAAAATCTAAAACATTTTTTCCCCATTGTTATTCATTCTTTTTGAGTCGCTGCTTGTCTTGGGCCGTGTTAGCCTTAATGCGAAAGATGCCAATTTGAACATAAGCTAGCTAGAGCTCATTTTCCTGTTAGCGCTGTAACAGGGGCAGACGTGTTGTTAGGACGGTTGCTAAGGCAAGCAGGAGTTTCCCCCACGAATGAAGGCATATGATTGGTCAATCCTTGTATGGCTCATATCTGGATTTACAAACACAACATCAGAACAAAAACACAGAAAGAGAGAGAGAGAGCAAAACCGCAGATTTTTGAAGCTAAAAATATAGTTTACTTTTCAGTGTGAGTGAGTTGGGGCAAAACTTTGTCCACGAGCACTTCCCTATTGGGCTTCATTGAGCTAGCAGGTTTAGCATTGTTCACATTCTACATTCTTTCAATATTGACATTTTGGACCTACGGCTCTTATGTGTTTGTTATTATTGCATTTCCTATGTTTGAACGGTTTGATTCTCTGATCTGTTGTTTGCGAATCGACAACTTTGTAAATTCCTCAAAGACGACTGCTGTTGTGATTTACGGCTACACACAAATACATTGAACGGAATATATCTTTTTGTAAAGATAAATGGTAAGAACCTATGTGAAAGTGTCATTAAAGAAATGTCTATATTCAGTCCTGTTGAACCTGAATCAATCAAGAGAAGATGTTAAAGCTATTTAAGATATGTAAAGTCTTAAAGCTGAGGTACCTAACTTTGTAATGTAAGTCCATCTAACTGGTTCTCAAAACAGTTCTATCACTAGTTTTCATATGTACTCTGCAAAAAATGATAAAACATGAGGTGTTAGTAATTCTTATCTTCATTTCAGGACATTCTCCGATGGGACAAAGACATTTTTTCTGGTTTCTGGATCTTTTTAAAACAAGATAATTTTACTTTGTCCCATTGGAGAATCTTCTTTTAAAGACTCAGTCAGAATGAAGATACATTTCTACAAATGTGAGCAATTTTTGACCAATTTCCCATCACTTTTTGCAGTTTATGTATATTTTGGCGTCTGTCACGTCTTTAAATCAGATTTTTTTAAACAATACAGGACTGCCCTCACTCAGCCAATCAGATCTGAGCCCCAAAGGTCAAATTGTACTGTATGTAGAATAAGAAAGAAATCTATATCATATCATGAAGTCAAAACAGCAAGTTGTGGTTTATTCACAACTAACGACTTTTACCAGTCTTTCTGCTGAGACAAAATAGCATTGAACTGAAAAGTCAGGCACCCCAGCTTTAAATCTACAAAGCATGTATTTGTTTGTGTTTGAATCATGCCATAACAAAAGTCACCAATCAATGGATATTCTACACTACAAAAAGTGATAAAAAAAATAAGTCAAAATTCCAGAAATGACACCGTTGGAAAGAGAAAATAAAGCAAATGTTTTTGGATTCAGACTAAATGTCTTCGTCCCATTGGAGAATCTAGTGTTAAGGTAAAAACACTTGATTCTAGCAAACATTATCTTAAATTTTATCAGTTTTTGCAGTGCAATAACTATAACATTGTCCATTTTGCATTTTACATTTATGACACATTCAAAGTTACTGCCCTTTCTTGTCATCTCCTGAGTGCTCTGCTAAAGCTGGGATTGTAAACGTGTACAGGGGCTGTTGCATGTCACAGGGAAATGTACAGAACAAAAGTGTAAATAACTATATTTTTGAGATGTGAAAATCTCATAGTGAGTTTAGCCAATGGGGATGGATTGATTTGACGTCTTGTATTGATATTATTATGATTAATTATTATATGACGTATTCAAGAGTAATATTATTTTTCGGCTGTTCATTTTTCTTCTAGGATGGATTTTGTAAAATGCTTGTTCTTGTTCTTTTTGCTGTTTTTAAGGGGAAGGGAAACAGGTGGGATTGGGGTAATTGTGACTGTAGTGATGATGATGATGATAATAAAACATGGAAAAACACTGAAAACATTTCTGTGTCATTTTTATGTTTGTCTTTATTTCCTTTCATTAAAAATGTTAACAAAGCAACATATTATACCACTATTAATTGTAATTGCAGCTGTGTGCAGTGACAGAGAAACAGTCAAATCGCTGAACATTTTGGGAATAATGGGAAGAATGTTTAGCAAATGTCATTGCTGCAAAGATGTTGTGGCTCTACTCCCCACGGGCTTCGTTGGCGGCAAAGGAGACGGCTGAAGCTAGGCTAAATGCTAAAGTAAAGCTAAAGGCTAAAGGCCTCACTCACCCGGGCGCATTATATACTCAGATAAACTCAGATCCAGTCATTTCAATCTGCAAAAAGTAATTGACCCCTCCCGCCTGTTAACAGAGTTCAATGGAGCAAATCCAGATCTTAGTATGAAATGAAATGAGTACGATGGTGTGGTAAGACCAGGGTAGTCTGAGGATAAAGCAGAGACAAACTCATGTGTATAATTTTTTATTGTCTAATGAACAAACGTCATAGAGACATTTCACCTACAGGTCACGTGGTCGTGGTCTTCTGGATAGAGGACAGTAGGGTCCAGAGGGAAGTGACCGAGGCTGAAGGCTCATGCATAAACGACACATGGAACTTCCCTGGACTCTGAAATAACAAAACATGTCCCATACTCTCCCTCATGCTAGCCCTCACCCTGACCCTCATCCTCACGCTAACCCTTACGCTAACCCATCTGAAGTTCAATCCATGTGTTCATTTGTTGTGGTTTTAAACTCTGTTGAAAACTTCATGAGAAAGATACCCGTGTTGTTTAGACCAGCTGTACTGTACCTCTCTTGCCAAGGAAAGTGTGCAGCCATCTTGGGTCAAAGATTGAAACATCACATTTGTTGACTGTAAATGTCAGGTTTTGAGATGTCTTCAAGCAAACGTAACGTGCAAATCAACTTTGCACGTTTTTTTCTAAAATTTTATAGACATGTGACCAAACCCTACCCTGCTTCTTCTTTCTTCTAAGAGAACGGTTTACTGATTTGCCTGGAACTGTCATGAGCAAAGACATTCCACAGCATACAGGGGATATGACACTAATTAATTCTGCATAATTCTGCAACGCAAGCACCGGTTAGACCCGCCCCCACTGGATCCTGAATGGACGCAGATTGGTCTCTCTCTGGTCCCTCTCTCTCTCCGGTCTCTCCCTCTTTCTGGTCCTTCCTCTCTCTGGGCTCTCTTTCTCTGGCCTCTCTTTCTCTGTGGGCCTCTCTCTCTGGTCTTTCTAAAACATTTCTTCCCATTGGTCAAACTATGATTACAGGCTGTACAAAAACAAACTAATTCTAAACTAAGTCTAATTTTTGATACTTTTCAGACAAAGCAATAAACCTCCAATTCGCAGCTTATTCTCCACTAGAAAAGTTAGGTAGTGCAGCTTTAATGCTACAGTTGTATTGAGTCGATGTTGGAGAGGTTAGAAACAGCAGGAGCAGTGAGGATCATGAGGTAAAGGCACCAGTCTGATGGTTGTGGTCAGTGCGAATGAGACATATTCACAGTAGTTTGAGAATCTTCTGTCTGGACCATGGACAAGACATTATTGAGGACTTTCACATCGTGGAAAAGGAAGAGAGTAGTCAATGACAGAAAACAATCAGGAGACACCAGAGGGACTGACCCAGATGGACTGACGGAGGAATCGCAAGCAAATCACAAAGACGGCATATAACTGGGCAAAATAATTACAAGAAAATAAGCTAAAAATCCTAGAGTTGGGCCCACTTTAGAGTTCTATTTTAATGGACTTCAAACATGGAACAAATCTATTTTCAAGTGACATTGTTTTTTTTTAAATATGTATGAGAGAACCTTGTCTGCTGCTTTCATTGGAACATCTTAAACAAAATGAGTAGAGTAAAGTACAGCAGAGCAGAGCAGAGCAGTGTAGAGTAGAGTAGGGGAGGGTAGTGTAGGGTAGGGTAGAGTAGAGTATAGCAGAGTAGGGTAGAGTAGAGTAGAGTAGGGTAGGGTAGAGCAGGGTAGAGCAGGGTAGGGTAGAGTAGAGAGTAGGGTAGAGTAGAGTAGAGTAGGGTAGAGTAGGGTAAAGTAGAGTAGAGTAGAGTAGAGTAGAGCAGAGTAGGGTAGGGTAAAGTAGGGTAGGGTATAGTAGAGTAGAGCAGAGTAGTGTAGAGCAGAGTAGGGTAGGGTAGAGTAGGGTAGAGTAGAGTAGAGTAGAGTAGAGTAGGGTAGGGTAGAGTAGGGTAGAGCAGAGTAGAGTAGAGTAGAGAGTAGGGTAGAGTAGGGTAGGGTAGAGTAGGGTAGAGCAGAGTAGGGTAGAGTAGGGTAGGGTAGAGTAGGGTAGAGCAGAGTAGGGTAGAGCAGAGTAGAGTAGAGTAGAGTAGGGTAGGGTAGAGTAGAGTAGAGCAGGGTAGAGTAGAGAGTAGGGTAGAGTAGAGTAGGGTAGAGTAGAGTAGAGTAGGGTAGAGCAGAGTAGGGTAGAGTAGAGTAGAGTAGGGTAGGGTAGAGTAGGGTAGAGTAGAGTAGAGTAGGGTAGAGCAGAGTAGGGTAGAGTAGAGTAGAGTAGAGTAGATTAGAGTAGGGTAGAGTAGGGTAGAGTAGGGTAGGGTAGAGTGGGTAGAGTAGATTAGAGTAGAGTAGAGAGTAGGGTAGAGTAGAGTAGAGTAAAGTAGGGTAGAGTAGAGTAGGGGAGAGTAGGGTAGAGTAGGGTAGAGTAGAGTAGAGTAGGGTAGAGTAGGGTAGAGTAGAGTAGAGTAGAGAAAAGTAGGGTAGGGTAGAGTAGGGCAGAGTAGGGTAGAGTAGAGTAGATCAAAGTAGAGTAAAGTAGAGTAGAATACAGCAGAGGTCTATGTCAATGGCCCAGACTTGCTCCTGATACAAAAATACACCATTAGAGAAATCCCTGACGTTTTAACAGCCACACGTTCTTCCACCCAGCGCCATTGGTCCGCCGGATCTGTACAGGAAGTGCTTCTGCTTCCTCCTCCTTCTAGTCCTCCTCCTTGTCGCTCTCTGGCGCCACCTCTGGGTCTGGCAGGAAGCAGTGTCTGAAGAAGTTGAGGACTGAAGTGAACATGTAGTGTTTGCTTTTTGGGGTTGAGATGTCGTGGCCTTCGTCCGGAAAAATCTGGACAAGAAGAGAGAGATATGGTGAAATCGTCCTTGATGCTAAGCCGCGCAGGGCCTGATTAGTGTTGGGATGGGAGACTGCAAACTGTCTTAGACCTGTTAGACCTTTAGACAAGAGATGCACCCTTTTCTAGTATGGCTGCCAGGCAAGAAATAATGATATCTGTTCAACTCATTTGGTCATGACTCCAAAATAATGGAGAGTTTACACACAGGTCTAGACTCAGAAATAACCAGGAATTACTTGATTATGAAATATTTCTTTTAAATTAGGAGTCAATTAAAATACTTTAATAGTATAGAACAGAGTTGGCCGGACTCATTTTCATCTGGTTACTAACCCTTTATGTGCCAGTGTTTACTTTTCCTGAGGCTCAATTTTGACATCATCATTTCTTTATAACTGAAAAGTGAAAAGAGATAGAGGCTTTATGTAAATTAGAAATACTATTAGGATGGCCCAAAGGGGCTCCGTGAGGGCCAAGAACATCTGGAACAGTCTCCCTCTGCACTCACGGCAGAGTCCCACACTGGTCAGCTTTAAAGGTGCTCTGTTTAATTTTTACAGTTGCTCCAGAAAAAAACAAAAGAAACACATTAACCAATAAAAAATGAAACCTTTTTAAGAATATTTACCTCCACCATTTTCTTGAATTGTTTTCAAAGACTTAGAGTTTGAATTATAAATGTCCATGAGAGCTGGAAGACGGCATCTTGAAATACAGTGGTTGATAAGGGACAAAAGGAGTTTGAGCAGGAGTTGGGGACCACTGTCAAAGACGACATAGATTACAATATATGATCTCAATGCTAGATTTGCATTTTTTTCCTGCCTAGAGACCATGGATAAAAACTAGCTTTGTAGCCGTAACCCTGCATATTCACTTCTGTTTTATACTGATGTTCATTATTGTACATTGTCCCTATCAAATGAATAGATCAATAAATAAAACATATAAATCAGGGAAATATATATGAAAACAAATCATTGTGTGGCAGAAAGTTTGAATGGATTTTGACAACAATCTACCATTTAAAAAAGTTGACTTAATTCTACCGTGGCGCTTAGAGGGTTAGTGTGAGTGCAGCCAATTCTGTTAAAATGCAACGACAAAAAAGAAGATATCTGATGTTACTCTGTGTAAAGTGTGTTTGCTGATGTTCGGAATCTGCGGCTAAATGATTATTTTATACAATTGGAATGTATTTTTACTTGTCTTAAGATTTTAATTGAACCAGAGCTGGATTAATGTGTTTGGTGAATTATTAAAAGCGCTCAAATGGTCTGGCATTGAACTGGAACATAAAACCTATTTAGCCTTTCTCCTTTCTCCAAAACGGCGGTGATTTCTGACCTGCAGAGTGTAGTTGACGCTGAGAGACGACAGCAGCTTGACCAGTTCTGCCGAATGCTGGAAGTGCACAGTGGCTGCAGAAAAACACAGAAAATGTCAGAATCTCATAAAAAAAAAAACTTTCCTCTAAAAAAAAAATGAGTTGTGAGAATAGAAGCACATATTTCCAGCTCCCAAGAAACTCAGACTGTTCACATAAATATCCTAGAAAACATGAATTATTCTGACCACTGTCAAATCAACTGTGTGTGGGCCGCTCTAGAACAGTGTTTTTCAACCAGTGTGCCGTGGAATGTTTGTGTGTTGCGTCTAACAGGTCCAAATAATGTGAACATTAGAAGATTAGAACAAACTATAGTGCTTGTTGGATTTTCTATATGATGCTCTTTGATGATAATTACTTTGCTTTCTTATTACAGGAGCAGTACTGTATGTAAAAATCTGGCAAAAATTGGTACTGCAACCTCTCCCACTCTCCCTGACTCAGGTTGCCAGATATGCAGACAAATCCACCTGGGAACATAATACTGAATAGACAAGAGTCTTGTCAACAACAAATCAATAACCAACACCTGTTTCACAAAGGCCCTGATAGAAATCATTGTTTTATTCCTTGTTTTGCCATTAATGATTTGAGAATCATATCGTGACCTTTTTAGTTCTGCGGCCACATGGTACTTTTCCAGTGAGATTAACTCAACGCTGTGAATTCTGCCAACCCGGATCACAGACTTTCTGATTGGTATAACGGTGGAGGGCGGGACATCGAAATGTAACAAGATTTAGGGGCTGTAAAACTAATTTTGAAATCCAAATATCCCTGAACTACTGTTGTCAGTTAAAGAAGTATTAAAAAAGACCATGGTTTACGAATGACTTTTGACAGATTAGGGCCCTTTAATGATCACTTGATATGAAAATCTGAAATATTGCTACTTTAAAGGCTGCAGAGTTTCATTTTTGCATCAGTTTAAACTGTACTTTACAAGAAGGTATAGGGTATGTAGCCAGTAAGGGTTTAGCTGAAGCTGGCTGGATGACACTGCACTGTGTTTATGATGCAGGGTGTCTGATGGTCCTCACCGTCAGCAGTCCCGTGGATGATCAGTAAGTCGGCTGGATTTGTTCTTGTGAAATTCTGAATTAAACTCGAAATCTGCAAACACAAACATTCATTGGTTAAAGTCTAAACTCCAAACAACAACAGTGTCAAATATAAGTTTGTTTTTGCGGTGAAATATGGAACATAAATTGTCTGTTTTGATATCTGTGTTTTAAGCAATCCATCCATCTTTTTCCCCTTAATCCATGTGTGGGTCAGGGAGGCAGTCAGAGCACCAGCCCCACACTGATCCTCCTGCAGGTGCTGAGTCCACAGGAGAATGACACAGCCTGGGTCTTTCAGCAGGGGCTTCAGGCAAAGTGGGGTTAAGTGTCTTGCTCCAGGACACAGCAACAGCAGACATCAGTGGGAGTCGGTGGAGAAGTTCTCGCGGGATTGAATCCACGACCTTCAGGCTCAAAGGCCAATGATCTACCACTGACCTCTGTCGGCCAACAAAAATCAGGAATGACTCCTACTTCTCCTTCTACTATTACTCCTCCTACTCCTGCTCCTACTACTCTTACTCCTAATCCTACTCCTCCTACTTCTACTCCTACTCCTTCTGCTCCTACTACCACTCCTCTTGGATATTTGATGAGATGTACCATAGTTGAGACATACAGTAGATTAAAGGAGAAATAGTAGCAACATTGTCTTTGATTTTTATACTTTTTACAATAAAGACCTATTGTTGATTCCAGATCCGTCTAAACTGACTTAGCGTTTTCTAAATATTTAAGAACATTTCTGGACATCCTCCAGTGGCTCCTCTGTGTTTGTTATTGACGTATTTCATGTGCTAGATCTGTCTGATTCTCTATTTGTCAGAAGTCGTTGTAAAGTCTGACTGCTGTTGTGATTGAGGGCTATTCACAAATAACTGGATTTGAATGGAAATCCTCACGATCATGATGAAGGCGTGAAAGCAACGGATCCACAGCTCAAAATGTGCGACATCACAACGTTCAGATTCTAGTCTCAGTTTAGAGCTAATTTCTGTCATTACTGGGAGAATCCAAATTAAATAAAAACTGTCTCTGTCTCTGCCTCTCTCTGTGTCTCTGTCTGTGTCTCTGTCTGTGTCTCTGTCTGTGTCTCTGTCTGTGTCTCTGTCCGTGTCTCTGACCGTGTCTCTGTCCGTGTCTCTGTCCGTGTCTCTGTCTGTGTCTCTGTCCGTGTCTCTGTCCGTGTCTCTTTCCGTGTCTCTGTCTGTGTCTCTGTCTGTGTCTCTGTCTGTGTCTCTGTCTGTGTCTCTGTCTGTGTCTCTGTCTGTGTCTCTGTCTGTGTCTCTGTCCTTGTCTCTGTCTGTGTCTCTGTATGTGTTCTGTCTGTGTCTATGTCAGTGCTTTTGTCCGTGTCTCTGTCTGTGTCTCTGTCCGTGTCTCTGTCTGTGTCTCTGTCCTTGTCTCTGTCTGTGTCTCTGTCCGTGTCTCTGTCTGTGTCTTTGTCCGTGTCTCTGTCTGTGTCTCTGTCCTTGTCTCTGTCTGTGTCTCTGTCATTGTCTCTGTATGTGTCTCTGTTTGTGTTCAGTCTGTGTCTCTGTCCGTGTCTCTCTCTGTGTCTCTGTCTGTGTCTCTGTCTGTGTCTCTGTCTGTGTCTCTGTCCGTGTCTCTGTCTGTGTCTCTGTCTGTGTCTCTGTATGTGTTCTGTCTGTGTCTCTGTCTGTGTCTCTGTCCGGGTCTCTGTCCGTGTCTCTGTCTGTGTCTCTCTCTGTGTCTCTGTCTGTGTCTCTCTCTGTGTCTCTGTATATGTTTTGTCTGTGTCTCTGTCCGTGTCTCTCTTTGTATCTGTTCTGTCATAATATATTCTTGTTCGTCCGTCCTCCTTTGTTTTGCCTTTTTTTGATATTGTTTGTATCTTTGGTAAAGGTGAACTTTATTAATCCCTGTAGGGCAATTCATCCTCTGCATTTGACCCATCCTGATGCCACAAAGGCTTACGTCAGGAGCAGTGGTCGCCGTAGTAACAGCGCCCGGGGACCCATGTTGATGCTCGGCTTGGTCAGTACTACCGGAGCTGGAGGATTTTACCTAGGGTGCTTAATTTAATGGATTTGTTTTGATTGTTGTTGATTTGTTCTGTCATTGCCCTCTGTCAAGGCCTTGAAATAAGTCAAATAAATACAATTATATTTACAAATACACATGTTTTATATATATTCATAAAAATGCTACAACTATATGCATGATGTTGGCAGAAGAACATCTCTGCACTATCAAAGCAGATAATTCATTTTTTGCAAGAATTCTTTCCAAACATATAATGGCATCTGCATACTTTGACTGAAATACAGTTCTAGGACATGAACGCTCCCTTTTGAGAATCAAGGTCATTTACGCAATTCTCATTCCAGAATACCACATGTCATTCAGGCAAAACCAACGAATGAGTTCAAACCTCACTGAAGAGCGATAATGACAGTGTACATGTACTTTTGTGCTGGTAAAACCTTGAGCAGTCGTACTTGGAATTTGGACTCGTCTTTCAGCGGCTGTCCAAAGTATTTCTCTGTGAAGGTCGACGCTAGAGAGACAAGAGAATACAATCAGACAACATATTTTTTCTTGTTTGTAGCTTTGAATGAGTTGCAGAGGTATGCGGCGGTTTCAGATTCAAATTTATTTTCCATTTGCAGTAAAACCACATTGGAATACATCCGCAAAAGTCCTCAGTGTTCACAAGACAAGACCATAAATAAAATAAGATTAAAAGTACTGATATAAAACTCTCTTAAACTAGTGCAGGAAACAGTTGTTGCTGTGAAATGGATCAAACTAAAACAGTTTCAATACAAGTGAAAATCATTTAAAGAGCTTTGTTTGAAGTGATGATGAAGCTATTGGCAAAACCAGATGTCCTGCATCTCAGCGAACAATATCTTCTGCCAGAGGGAAGAAGCTGGAACATGGCTTTTCCAGAGGCCAGGCGAGTCATTGATAATTCTAAAAGCTCGGTTTCAAAGTCTGGATTCATAAAGAACCTACAGAACAGATAACAGTCCTCTTTCAGAGCACCTTGATCACAGCTCTCTACAATAAAACATGAGTGTGTGTGTGTGTGTGTGTGTGTCAAGGGCGTAGGTTTGCGTGGGGACCATGGGGACATGTCCCCACCAATATTTGGTGAGGACTAAAAAGTCCCCACCAAAATGACATGCTGTCCCGGGACCCGGACGGTCCGGGACACATGTCTTCCGTTTGTGCACACGTCGCGCCTCCTCCTCGCCTCCAGAGCAACAGCAGCAGCAGCAGCACGTGACCCGTTCCGTTCTCTGCAGTGATTGGCTGTCTTCTTCAGCGCCAAACTGAAGCACTGAGCAACTGTTTAATTTTTAAAAGTTAGCCAGCGTGAAGCAAGTGTTTTTTTTTGTTCCCTGAGCGTTGTAGCACGTGAGTAATCAGAGGAAAGTACTGTGGATCTATTACCATTCAAAGTACTTACGTTATTTCTAATCTGTCAGCGCACTGTTTAATGTTCCGAGGAGCTCACACGGCACAGAGACAGAACAGAACTGGCTCCAATAAAGAAACAGGTTGGTTGAAAGGCTGAAAAAATACTTATTGTGCTCTTACTATCCAAAATGTATGAGTGGGTGTGTTGTGGGAATCAGGATAAACTAGGGATAAAAATATTCCACGGATCCACGATTTACAACCTTTATCTGCTGATAATGTAATTTCTGTGAAATGTGTGACAGCGGGCACTTGCTGTTATTTGCTCTAAGCACATTCAAGCGATGAACTCGAATGTGCACGTCCTGGTGCAGCTGCTGCCGCTTTGTAATGACAGCCGCGGCGCTCAGTGAAAGCACAGCTCTAACATGGTACCGAGCTCGGACCATATGCAGACAGAACCATGTTGCAAGTGCGGGTCTCCCTCGTATCTCCCGCGTTTCTCCCCTGTGTCTCTGACATGTCTCTCCCCTGACTCTTCCCAAAGCTACCAGCGCTCCCGAAATTAAAGCTCGGATACGTAAATTTTCCATTGCGTTAACGATGCATGCTGGTTGTGCGCAAAACACACCACAACAGGTCATTTAAGTTTTTATTTTGCATACTTAAGAGCCCTGTGAGTCATTACTTGCCTTTTTGGGTTGAGAGTGGAATAAAAAAAAGAAAATATAGAAAAATCCACACTGTTACTTATTGCCAAACTCTTGTTAACTCATTGTATTGAGAAATACTATGTAACTTTTGACATTGGCCAAGTTATATAAATGATTCTGCAGTTCATGTATATGAATGTCTGTTTTTGATTGTCTATACCTTCTTATATAATTTAGAAAAAATGCCACCTCCACAAAAAAAGATAAAAGATATCAGGAGCTTTTTTAACAGTTGGAAAGTAAGTAAGAGAAAGCACAAGTAATAGCAAATTATGAATTGTGATGATTAATCTTCTGTTAACATACATAGGAAACTCAACCAACAAAAGAGAATATAGGGAATGTTGAGGTAGAAGCAACAGGCCCTTCAGTGCATCAGGCGAGGTTGGAATTTTGTAGGTATGCATGGGACTATGAATTGTTTTTAGAGATTGATCGTATATGTCAAACAATGTAGTGAGATACTCACTGTAGATTCTAATTCAATATTTTCTCCTCTGTTTTTATTTATTATAGGAAATTGAAAGATCAGAGCATGATTTATTTCAAGTATCGAGAGCAGTTCCTGAACTGTTAGAGCCTCAGGTGAGGGCTATTATGTAGATTTGGATTAGGTTTAAGTCAGTATAGAATGAACGCAACACAAAACTCAGAAGTTCTGATCCAATTGATTTTGTTTTAACTATTAGAAAAAATCCTTAACTGCTTCTCATTCAGTCTACAGCTGAGTTTAGTATAGAAGGCAACACACTATTGCAAATATAGTGTGTGATTACACAACAAATTCTGGGGGAGAAACTCTGGACCCCGTGTCAATGGGTGTAGACTCAGGTCGTAGTGAATGTCCCCACCAAGATTAGAACCAAACCTACACCATTGGTGTGTGTGTGTGTGTGTGTGTGTGTGTGTGTGTATGTAATCTTTATTTATATACTGCCTTTCACAGATCAGAGTCACAAAGCGGTTTACAATTATTATTATTTTTGGGCGTTTGTCTCTCACTCCACAAAGAGATGGGAGTGGGGTCGCCAGTACAGGAGGCGCATGCCAGACCTATTGTACTGTACATGTTTTTAGTGGTAGGGGAAACCCGATTACCCAGAGGAAACCTACGCAGACACGAGGAGAACATGCAAACTACACTCAGAAAGGCCCTGTTCCGACCGGGATTCGAACCCAGGGCTTTCTTGCTGAGAATTTGTGTATGTGTGTGTGTGTGTGTGTGTGTGTGTGTATATATATGTATGTATGTATGTATGTATGTATGTACTGTATTTATGTTTACATGTTGTATGTTTTTATATTTGGGACCCCCTTGGTGATTCTCCTCGAGGGATTTTCCTTAAATAAACCATGAATAAATGTAATTCTATAAACAATATATGAAGTTATCAGGGAGTTTCCCATGAACAGATGGTTTCTTTATATGAACAATAAATCAGAAAATAAATGTATATATGATTAAAAAAATGGACTAAAGAATGTGTTCAGACCGTAGAAGTTCCAGTTGGAGACCGGAGCCACAGCCACAGCACACTGGAAGATGTGGCTGTGAGAGAGCAGCAGGAGCGAGGACAGGAAGCCTCCGTAGGCCTGCAGCAACAGAGGGATCATGGGATTAAAATGATTTATGACACAAAGACATAATGTACACAATGGTGACCAGAGAGAGACCTGAGAAAGAGAGACCCGATAGAGACCAGAGAGGGACCAGAGAGAAACCCGAGAGAGAGATCAGATAGAGACCAGACAGGGACCAGAGAGAGACCTGAGAGAGAGAGACCCGATAGAGACCAGAGAGGGACCAGAGAGAAACCAGAGAGAGAGACCAGATAGAGACCAGAGAGGGACCAGAGAGAGACCAGAGAGGGACCAGAGAGGGACCAGAGAGGGACCAGAGAGAGACCAGAGAGAGACCAGAGAGGGACCAGAGAGAAACCAGAGAGAGAGACCAGAGAGAGACCAGAGAGAGAGAGACCAGATAGAGACCAGAGAGGGACCAGAGAGGGACCAGAGAGGGACCAGAGAGGGACCAGAGAGAGACAAGAGAGAGAGAGAGACCAGAGAAAGACAGAGGGACCAGAGAAGGAAACCACTGAGAGAGACCTGAACTAATTAGTGCCCATAAGTTACAAAGTTGTCATGTCGTTGGTTATATATAGTAAGAACAACTACAGCTCACCTTTCCATACACTCCCACTCTGTTTCCATCAATATAAGGCAGCCTGGTTAAATACCTGCACACACACAGACACACACATGCACGCACGTTAAACTGAAGTCCAAGCTTATAGTGTCTATTTACGAGACAAAGAAGCTGCCAATGTACAGCTATACAATTTAGTTTTAATTTAAATAACAAAAACATGATTCTAAGTTTCATTATAAACAAAAAGCTATTTTTCATTATAGAGAGTAGGACGCACTCCACGGCGGTGATGTGGTCCTGCAGGTCCACAGTCCCCAGTCTGTGGTGCAGCTCGTGCAGGAGTCTCTGTCCCTGGAAGCCACTGCCGCGAGCGTCCAGCCGAGCCACCACCACACTGTCCGAACTCACCAGCACCGAGTCCCAGTCCACAAAGAACTGCTCACTCACCAGCTGACCACCGGGGGCGCTGTCCCTGAGCGGACAGAAAGGAGACATTCAGTCCTGGGTCTACAGTCTCAGTCCTGGGTCTACTGCCTCAGTCCTGGGTCTACAGCCTCAGTCCTGGGTCTACAGCCTCAGTCCTGGGTCTACTGCCTCAGTCCTGGGTCTACAGCCTCAGTCCTGGGTCTACAGCCTCAGTCCTGGGTCTACAGCCTCAGGCCTGGGTCTACAGCCCATCTATAAATCTGGAGGACATCAATCCCTTATCAATAAATGGTATTTCGTGTTAATAAAGAAAAACTTTACTTGGACAGATAAAAATAAAAAAGTTCTTACAGTATGAGCAGCAGTGGATGCAGCCGAGCCTCGTCCAAATCCACTGGGACGGCGAGCTCCAGACGCAGTGCTGCCAAAACACGCACAAACAAAACAAAAAGGCATTTCTACACAAGGATTCAGTTCAGTTTATGAATATTACTGTGAAACAACACATTTTAAAGCAGAATCTTGTAGCTTGAAAAACATACTTTTAAAGTCTGTGTGATGGTTTTTTGTTTTTGTTTAAAGCAGAGTTGTTTAAAGTAGAGTTTCCTTAAGTATGAACTGAGCCATAATCTTGTCAATGTCATGAATATTACCATTATTATTGATAGGAATAATTCTTCTCTCCCATCGGGGAATGGTCCTGTTCACCAAGAAGTGTCTCAGCTCTGCTCCACTGTCCACTGTCCTCACGACTGAGAAGACAGACATTCATTATGCATTAGTGACACTAAAAACATTAATAATAATAATGCAAAAAACTATTTGGGACACTCTACCTAACATATATCATGAATATACTGTGTTGGTTTTTGCTGTGTTCGTTATTTAGCCTGGCATTTCAAGTTTGGCACTTTACAGCCACAGCCGCCCCAATGTGGCACCCAGTGTTCCCGGAGGTCTCTCATCACAGTACTAACCAGACCCTGCCCTGCTTAGCTTCAGAGGTCTCCCATCACAGTGGAAATGCGATTTTGGAGCTATACCCGTTTCTTCAAGATTTGAATGTTTAGCACCGCCCCCCAACTCGCTCACAGGCTTCTCATTTCATCTACGCTCTCGTTCCACAGAGCCATCTAGTTCAATTTGCGATCTAATACATATGCAAACATTAGCATGAGCGCAACTTAAGCTGTACAACAATCACTGATGAAATGGCACAAAAGCAATGCACTGCCAACAAAATATATAATTGAAAGATATCCGCTAGTTTCACGTCTGAATGTAGTCCAACAAGTCTCTCCAGAGGATACGATGTAAGCTAGCTATGTTCACCTGGGCCTGATTTCTTCTTTGATCATTTTTTCGCTTTAGTTCCCTCTTCTCTTCCTCACTGTTGCGTCGTTTGCGCTGTTTTGCTGTGTATGAAGTTACATCCTGAGCAGGTATATAGGCTCTTTCTGCCTCCATAGAGGCTAGAGAACGCAGCCTCGTGATTGGAGGAGAGCTGACATCACACTAAAGTCTCTATTCAGCACTTTTTACGGCCTGAATTCATACACAAGCTGAATCAATGAGCTAATCAATGTAGTAGTAAGCATTTTTATGCTTAAACTACATATTCTCATTAAAATAAAAATCGGGTATAGCTTCTTTAAATGCCCTTCATATTGACTGCGGCTTTTTATTCAAGGACCGGCATCATTTGTCTTTACATGAGGAAATTATGTGCAAACTATAGAATAAAAAATGTTGTGTCTAATTCACAAAATCTATATCAAATCTATAAACTCCCCTGTGAGACCAGTCCCAGATGATCCAGATCAGCTTCAGCCAAGTCTCCAGTGTTCGTAGAAAGCAGTGTTAATCAGACTCTCTTTGGTCTCATTTCTCTGGAGACTGGATCTGGAGCTGAATCTGGATCTGGACTTATGCTAGAGTAGAGACTGTAGACTTACTGCTCATGCTGCTGAGCCTGTGGAGATTGGTTTGTGGAATCCCTGGTCCTGAAAAATACATCACACATCAAAACAGATGTCAGACAGCGACAGTCCCTGGTGTTGTGTGGTTTTGAATAAAATCTAACTTAGAAAAAAAAACACAAACAATATAATGCATCAAAAAGCACTGAAATTATAAATAAAACTCACAGTATTGAGGTTTATAGTTAAAATAGTGTATGCAATTTCCCGAACTCTTTCTGCTCCAGATTGGGGTTTGGATGTTGTAGGATGGTCCAGGTCATTTACGCACTTAATTCACATTTATGGGCATTGGTCAACCACCCCTTAATTACCAATGGCTTTTTTATGAAAGTCCTCAGAGTTAACTACTGTTGCGATTTTTATCGATACAAACGTAAATTGAATTGAGCAGCCACTGTCCGTTCATCCATTTTTCTTCTCTTTATCCGTTGTTGAGTCACAAAACGGTAGAAGTCTGTGCAAAGACACTCAAAGTTCTTGCCCCATGTTCACTTCCTCCGTCTCATCTGGGGGAATCCCGATATTTCTGAGCCCTTCGACCACATCCCAGGTCTGGTCCAAGGTCTGTAGGCCTCCTTCCTGTGGGGCAGTCTTGGATTGCCCTAAAGAGGTGTCCAGGAGGTTTCCCTAAACACATGCCTGAACCAACTTAACTGGCTTCTCTCAACATGAAGGAGCAGCGACTCTACTCTGAGATCTTCCTCCGCTCTCCCTGTATTTCTGCTTGTGTCTGCGATCTTGTCCTTTTTGTCCGTACCCAAAGCTCATGACCAGAGGTATTGCAGGGAGGGAAACGATGTAGATTGGGGTTAAACGATGTCTGCTTTGGTTGAATTGGAAGTATTTGTTGTGAAGTTAAAATAGTGTTGTAAGTGGTTTGTGTTACCTTTGCAGCGCAGGAGAACGTTCTGAAAGTCTGGACTCAGAGTCACACTGTAGAAGGAACACTGAGGTCTGACCAAGGAGCAGGTCATACACTGTCTGCTGAAGGGGTCCACCGTGGACACTCTGACAGAGAAACACAGGTTAGGGTTAGCTGTGCTGCTGCCGTGCTGCTGTGACTACAACTGCTACTGACTACTACTGCTACTTCTACTACTGCTTCTATGCTACAACTACTACTGCTACTACTGCTATATTACTGCTACTACTACTGCTTCTACTACTGCTTCTATGCTACTAGTACTGCTACTACTACTACTTCTTCTACTGCTTCTATGCTACTACTACTACTGCTACTACTGCTACTGCTACTGCTACTACTACTGCTTCTACTACTGCTTCTATGCTACTACTACTACTGCTTCTGCTACTACTGCTACTACTACTGCTACTATACTACTACTATTACAACTACTGCTACTGCTACTACGACTGCTACCACTACTGCTACTATGCTACTACTACTACTGCTACTGCTACTACTACTACTGCTACTGCTACTACTACTACTGCTACTGCTACTTCTACTACTGCTACTATGCTCATACTTCTACAACTACTGCTGCTATGCTACTACTACTACAACAACTACAACAACTACTACTACTGCTACTTTACTATTTCTACTGCTACTACTTCTACTAATACTGCTGTAACTACTGTTAATACTCGGCTAATCAAAGTGCCAACAGACCAAGACAGAAGCAATCAGGCATTGACATAATACCTTATAAAATACAATGAACGGGTAAAGATTAAATCCTTCAGTTGGAGCACAGCTAAACAGAACTATTTTTGAAGAAAGACAAAGTCCAACAACAATCGTAACCACTGACCTGTACAAAATCTTCCACTACTCCCTCATCAGTTGTCACAGTAATTCTATGATAATGGTTGAAATGGTGACAATGATTACCTGTAGAGATGTCTTTGCATTGGTCCATTCTCTGTGCTCAGATAATACCTGCAAAACAAATATTCTCACATCACAGGAAATGAAATTCAAATTGAGACGTCGTCATTTAATTTCTCTTACAGTAGACTTGAGTCCTCATCATAGGCCACGATCTGCGTCACCTCCCAGCTTCCTGAAGTCAGATGTCGGATATTGACGTCTTCTCCTTCTGACTGTAAAACAAACAAACATTTCTAAGGTGCTTTTTGACCAATGAGAGATCACACCGTCTCCTCCGATGGGGTTTTAACTTCACAGATGGCCGTAATGCAGTAGTTGTAGTCGGTGTAGTGCCTCTTAATGTATTCTTAATTACCTTCTCCACTGTAGCACGGAGCAGAATTATAGACTGTCGTTTCAGGAGATTAGACTTTGCAGTTAACTTTATAAGTGAGCAAAAGTGCATATAGGGACAAAAAGAAGCACATGTAGGAAACAAGATAAATATGTAAAGCTGAAGCAACCTTTCGTTTAATCTTTTTAAAGTGTATGAGTCAGAAATGGTTTGAAATCAACTTGAAAAACATTTAAGGACATTGGTTTCCGCTCCAACAATGACTCTATGATCTATTTCCTGTGGTTGAAAGGTTTGATTCTCTGATCTGTGTTGAAGAATCAACAGCTTTGTAATGTCTGCTCTGCAAAAAGTGATTAAACAAATGTTAAAACAATACATTCTGCCTTAAAACCAGATTTACCAATGAGACAAAGCAAATGGATCTTCTATTAAACAGATACAGAAATGTCTCCCTTGGAATGAGTAAATTAAAACAACAGTCAGACTAAATGTCTTTGTCCCATTGGCGAATCTTGTTTTAAGACAGAATGTGTCAGATTAAGTTAAAAACCACTCAGTTCAAGCCTTTATTACTTCATAGTTTATCATTTGTTTGCAGTGTGAGATCTAAGGCTATACAAAAACACATTGAATTCATATTGAATTGAACTGAATATTAAAGGTTGACAGGAGGATTTTCCCAAATTTTAGGAAAGAACTGCCCTCTCCAAAACTCTCTGGTCTTATTTGACGAGCAAGTTTCACCAGAATGATTGACATTTGGGATGACCAATAGTCTTGATGATCCACCCGGAAGAAGAACATTATCCTATATACAGTACCTTTATTAGTAAGTAAGTAATGTTTAATTATGTAGCGCATTTTGCAGTCCAAGTTCACCCAAAGCGCTTTACAATGTTCAGATTAGCTCCAGCTGTTGCCACTTTGCCTGTTAGAGCCCTTCACAAACATACAGTATATGTCCACTCAGAGTCTCTCAAGACAAACTCCTGAGCTCTGTCCGCTCTCATCACAAGGTGCTACACCAAGTAAAAAACACAATCAAGGAGCACAGCAGAATCCACCCGTTTTCTCAAGTTCAGACTGGACTCTGTTGATAACATGGATGGAGTCTGTTGTACCCCTGGGCCCTCTGAGGACTGAAATGCCCCTGCTCTAGGCTCTCTCTTCGAGGTCGCTCGGTCTTATATGGACCCGCTCCCGAACTCGAGAAGTGTTTGCACAGAAGGCTGCATGATATTTGACCGGTGCTTTTGTCTGCGCTGTTAGTAAAGAGCTTTGAGCCCAGTGAGGACCCGGTTAAGTCCTGGGTTGATTCTGTGCATATACTTGTCTCTGGGCTCGTGTGAATGGTCCATGGCGTCTCACCGGGTTGGAGATCATTGTAATGTGGCTGAAAGTCCCCCGTCCTCCATGTTTGATTGGCATCGTGATAAAGAATGTGGAGTAGTCTTCAGAAAATATCGGCTCCTCGTTCTGAAAAGGAAAACAAACATTACTTTCTTCAGTGTATTCATAATTGCTCATTTATTGATAAATAAACATTTACACATATTTTGCTTTATGCTTCATTTTATTTATAATAATAACAATAATATATAAAACTTATATAGTGATTTTTAGACACTCAAAGATGCTTTACAAAACATTAAAAAAATAAAAAAAAATAAGGAAAAGCTGAAACAGGTAAGATAAGATAGACTTCAATGATCTCACAATGGAGAAAAAAAGGTGGTTTTGAGAAGTGATTTAAAGAATTCTTGGTCCTCAGGGTTCAGAGGTCTTGGTCCTCAGGGTTCAGAAGTCTTGGTCCTCAGGGTTCAGAAGTCTTGGTCCTCAGGGTTCAGAAGTCTTGGTCCTCAGGGTTCAGAAGTCTTGGTCCTCAGGGCTCAGAAGTCTTGGTCCTCAGGGCTCAGAAGTCTTGGTCCTCAGGGTTCAGAAGTCTTGGTCCTCAGGGTTCAGAAGTCTTGGTCCTCAGGGTTCAGAAGTCTTGGTCCTCAGGGTTCAGAAGTCCAGGTCCTCAGGGTTCAGAAGTCCAGGTCCTCAGGGTTCAGAAGTCTTGGTCCTCAGGGTTCAGAAGTCTTGGTCCTCAGGGTTCAGAAGTCTTGGTCCTCAGGGTTCAGAAGTCTTGGTCCTCAGGGTTCAGATGTCTTGGTCCTCAGGGTTCAGAAGTCTTGGTCCTCAGGGCTCAGAAGTCTTGGTCCTCAGGGTTCAGAAGTCTTGGTCCTCAGGGTTCAGATGTCTTGGTCCTCAGGGTTCAGAAGTCCAGGTCCTCAGGGTTCAGAAGTCCAGGTCCTCAGGGCTCAGAAGTCTTGGTCCTCAGGGTTCAAAAGTCACGGTCCTCAGGGTTTGGTGTTTAGAGTGATGGACCATTGTGAAACATTTTGAGGTTTCTCATTAACGAGAAACTGTGCAAAAAGTTGAGTTTGTGCTGTATTTTGTTGTATCTGTTCACTCACTTGTCTGTCGAGCCACTTCTCCGTCGTCGCCACATGTTTCTATTTCAGGAACATACAGAGAACAGTGTGATACATGACTGTACACACAAACACACACATGCACACAGACAGAGACACACATGCACAGAGAGAGAGACACACACATACATTCAGACACACAAACACACATACACAGAGACACACACGCACAGAGTATGGAGCTATTATTGTTTCAATAATATTTGTGTGTGCGTAAAAAGATTTGTGCGTGCGTAACCAGATTTGTGTGTGCGTACCCAGATTTGTGTGTGCGTAACCAGATTTGTGCATGCGTAACCAGATTTGTGTGTGTGTAAAAGAAATATTTGTGCGTGTGTAAATAGATTTGTATGTACGTATCAAGATTTGTGTGTGCGTAAAAAGATTTGTGTGTGCGTAAAAAGATTTGTGTGTGCGTAGAAAGATTTGTGTGTGTGTAAAGAAAAAAAAAAGTACGTTTTACACACAAGTTTTTTTTTTACACACGAATCTTTTGACGCAGTCCTGCCTTCGCAGATTCGCAAGTGTAACTTGGACTGTGTGCGTGCGTAAACAGATTTGTGTGTGTGTAATTTGACATTTGTATCTGTAACAGAACAATCTGTGTGTAAATAACCGCGTTGTACAAAGAGAAGAATTAATAGTTACTTAATGTAACTTAAGTTCTACGAATAGGTGCGTAGTCCCTTAGGACTTCGCTAGTGGGATATCACTCGTGACCCCCAGGTCACACGACAGAGAGATCAAAATAATTTGCTCCAATCACCAGCCACCTTCCTCTATAAATGCCCCTGCACAAGGCCGCACCCCCTCTTGAACTCTGCCAAGCCGGGCTGGCCTGATGGGCTCGTAGCTAAGGGACTACGCACCTATTCGTAGAACTTAAGTTACATTAAGTAACTATTAATTCTACGTCATGGTGCTACGTCCCTTAGGACTTCGCTAGTGGGACACAACGCGGAGGCCGTAGGAAAATGTACTCCCAGCAGGCCAGCGAAGGGTGATTGGAGCTCCGCCCGAGCAAGACCCTCACAACGTGAGAGGACTCAGGGCAGAAGAAACAAGCGTGTTACGGGGCCACTCCTACCAAGGATACCCCCACGTAACACAAGCCGTAGGTCATCCGTAGTCACAGGACGCCTCTCCCAAGAGCTCCTGACGTGGACTACCAGACCGACCACACACACAAATGTACCGCACCTGTAGGATGCCTCTCCCAAGAGCTCCTGCACCAGGGCGGAAAATAGACCGAAGGCCCCCCTCAGGGGAGGGACCCAACGGTCTAACTCAGTCCGCTGCACTCAGCACGGAATGGGCCACCGACCGGTCCGACACATCCGAAAGATAAGACCGGACGAAAGAGGAGGACGACGCCCAAGAAGCCGCACGGCAAACGTCCTCGACCGACGCCCCCCTGAGAAGGGCCGTAGAGGCCGCCATCCCACGCGTGGAATGCGACCTGAAACCCACCGGGGGGGCCAGACCCTGCGTCTGATACGCCCGCCGCACCGCCGTGGCGACCCAATGCGCCAGCCGCTGAGCCGACAGCGGGGCGCCCCTGTTCTTGGGGCCCAGACACACAAACAGCTGATCACCCGACCTGAATGACGACGTCATGGCCAGGTAATGCCTCAGCATTCTGATAGGACACAGAAGGTGCTGCCGCTCCTCCTCGGGGGAGGCATGCGGCGGCGGGTGGAAAGCCCTAATCCTGATGACTCTCGACCTAAAGGCCGACGTGATGACCTTGGGGAGAAAAGCCGGATTGGGCCACAATTCCACCATGCCGTCGTCCTCTCCAAAGGACAGGCACGACGCATGGACGGAGAGCGCACACAAATCGCCCGCCCTCTTAGCAGACGCCAACGCCAGTAAGAGGGCCGTCTTAAAGGCGATACACTCGGGACTCGCCTCCGCCGCCGGTTCAAAAGGCGGACCCGACAGCCCCCTAAGGACCACCCTGAGGTCCCAAACCGGAGGCGTTCTCTGGAGCGGGGGCCTCCTCCTGCGCGCCCCCCGCAGAAAACGTTAAACCAACGGGTGAGAGCGGGCTGTGAACCCCCCGAACCCGTCGTGACCCGAAGTAATGGCTGCCGCAAACACCGCCAAGGTAGCGACAGCCCTTCCCTTGTCGAAAAGCTCCTGTAGGAATCCCAGGACCCCCTCCAGCGGGCAACACCTGGGATCCCAGGAACGGGAATCGCACCAGACACTGAATAGCCTCCACCTCGTGGCGTAGGCCCTCACGGTGGACGGCGCCCTCGCTCCCTGAATAGTCTCCACCACCGCAGGGGGAAGACCCAGATCTACGAGGCTCCGCCTCTCAACCTCCAAACCCAGAGCCTGCGGCCGATTATCGGAGGTGAAAACAGGGCTCCTGCCCCCTGGACTAGAGCCCCCGGCTCGTCCGGGAGGGCCCAGGGCTCCATCACCGCCATGCCCCTCAGGAAGGGGAACCACCGGGCATGCGGACTGTCCGGAGCCACCAGAATCACCGATCTCCTCTCCTGTTCGATCCTCCGCAGCAGGACCGGCAGGAGACGCACCGGTGGGAAAGCGTACAACAGGCCGCCTGGCCATGGGTAATGAGCCAGAGCGTCCACGCCTAAAGGCGGCTCGTCCGCGGCCCTTAAGGCGAACCAGGACGGGCACTGTGCGTTCTCTGCACTGGCGAAAAGGTCGACTACTGGACGGCCGAACCTCCGCCAGATCTCCGCAGCTACCCGTGGGGCCAGGCCCCACTCGTCCTGGAGTGGGCCCCCCCTGGACATTCTGTCGGCTCCCACGTTCCGGACCCCCGGGACGTGGCGCGCCCTGAGAGACAGGAGGTGAAGCGCCGCCCACAGCAGCGTCACCGTCGCCATGCGATGGAGAGCGGGGGACCTGGTGCCCCCCTGCCTGTTCAGATAGGAGACCACTGTGGTGTTGTCTGAGCGCACCATCACGTGTCTCCCCTGCAGCTGAGGGGCAAAGTGCAGCAGTACTCTGTGTACTGCCTCCATCTCCAGCAGGTTGATGTGACGGGTTGAGTCCGACCAGCAGCCTCCTACAGAGCTCTGGCCGAGGACCCCGCCCCATCCTTCGAGCGACGCGTCCGTGAACACCTCGACGTGAGACACAGCGCAGGCCAGAGTCACTCCGTCCCGCAATAGACCCGGAGTGAGCCAGAACCTGATGTCCGATGCTGCCCCTTGGGGAACCCAGATCAGCCTCCCCCCGTCCCGGGAGGGGTGAAGCCTGAGGCGCGAGAACCACCTCTGAAAATTTCTCATGTGGAGCAGGCCTAGCCGCACCACAGCATGAGCCGCTGCCATCATTCCCAGCAGGGACCTGAGGCGCCGAGCGGGGACTCTGGGGCCCGCCAGAACCTCCCGGGCCAGACGGGTAATACTCATCCGTCTGTCCACGGACAATGCAGCACGGAATATCACAGAGTCTAGCTGCAGACCGAGGTAAACCATGCGTTGGGCTGGCTGCAGTTTGCTCTTCTCCCTGTTCACCACAAAGCCCAGACGCTGTATGTGGGACAGGACCCAGTGCGTGTGGCTCACGGCCACCTCCCTGGATGGGGCCAGTATTAACCAATCGTCTATATAGGTTAATATTCTTACCCCCGCACGTCTGATCGGCTCCAGAGCTGCTTCCACACATTTGGAAAAGGTGCGAGGCGCGAGTGCGTACCCGAAGGGGAGACGGCAGTACTCGTAATTCCTCTCTCCCACTGCGAAGCGCAGAAACCTCCTGTGTTCTGGCACTATGGGCACGTGGAAGTATGCGTCTGTCAGGTCTATGGAAGTCATCCAGTCTCCTTCCCTGACACACTCGAGGAGCTGCCTTGTGGACAGCATCCGAAACTGCCGCTTGGAAATGCACTCGTTTAACACGCGCAGATCCAGAATGGGACGCACCCCGCCTGATTTCTTTGGCACTAAGAAGTAAGGGGAGTACAGCCCCCTGGTGGCGTCCTGCGGGTCTACCTCCACTGCCGCGCCTCGACTCAGCAGAGAGGGAGACCTCCGCTTGCAGTGCCTCTGTCGATCCCCGTACCTGAGAGCGTACTGCCCGTACGCCTCGGAATGGTGGTGGCTTTCGGAAAAATTGCAGCGCGTAACCTCTGCGCAGAGTTTTCTCCAGCCAAATATCTGTCAGTAAGCCCTGCTCCTTCCAGATGTCGTAGAAATCTGTGAGGGGCGGAATGGAAGTTGGAACACGAGACGTCACGGCCCCGCCCCCTCCTGGTGTTCCTAGCAGGGAGGGGGGGTGGCTGAAAGGGCCGGGGGGGCCCCTGCGTCACACCGTGAGCGCCGAGGGCGGTCACGTGTTCTGCAGGCCCGACGTCATAAGTACGGGACTGCTCACCACACGTGACTCGGCTGCTGTGCCCCCCCCTGGCTCTTGCCTCATGGAGGGGGGGGCGAGCCCCTGGAGCGGGAAACCCCGTGTTAGCCTTGTAGCTCTGCTCACCACACGTGACACGGCTGCTGTGCCCCCCCTCGGCTCTTGCCTCATGGAGGGGGGGATGAGCCCCTGCATTGGGAAACCCCGTGTTAGCCTTGTAGCTCAGAGATGCTAACACGCGTTCGGCCGGAGCACATACATTATCACTTACCAGATCCCTCCGCCTGCCCTCTCTCCGGGAGGGCAAAACATGAACCCGTGAATCGGAGCCCGTGGCCCGCTTAGCGCGCTGCACGCCCTTCTCTGGGGGCTGCAGGCCTAGCGGAGCCACGTTATATGCTCGAGAAGTAACACAATCAGAATTCAAATCATTTGACATGTTACATACCCCCAAATGAGACTCAGACAGCGAATACTGATGAAATGCCGGACGGCCTTTATTGAAAACATTTTTCCCACCCCGACCTCCTCTGCCATAGGGAGGTCGTCGGTGGGTGTGTTGGTCCCGCGAACCTCCCGTGTGCCTGTCTGGGCCCGGGGGTCTCGTCGCTGGGGAACGATGGACCACGGAGCGTGGATATGGTCCGGGGCGCCTGCCGGGCGAGCGCTCCCTGCCTCTGTCTCGGCTCCGCGCTGGTGGGCGGGCCTCGCGTCTCGCAGCTAGATGCTTGGCTAGGCTAGCAGAGTCCTTAGCTGCGGTGTCCAGCCTCGTACATCAGCGTCTGCATCTCCGGACCGAAGAGTGACGTTTGGGAGATGGGCAGGTCCAGCAGCTGCCTCTTCTCCGCCTCTCTGAGATTCACCGATCCCAGCCAGAGGTGTCTGGCCCCAACTTGTGCTGCTGCCATCGTGCGGCCGCCATCGACAGCTAGCGCTTGGCACATGCGCAAGATCGCCGCTGAAGTGGTCCTCGCCTGGGATAAGGTGTCTCCACTGAGTGCCTGGTCAGAGGAGAGAGACCTATCCAGGGCCCCGGTGATGAAGGCCATGTTGTTAGCCACCGCGACGACCTGGGCCGCATTGGCGTAACATCTGTCATGCATCGCCAAAGACATCCTATCCCGCTCGGAGGGAAGGAGAGGTCTGGTGCTGGGCCACACGGATGTGGAGGGGTACAGGGCCGCCCGAACCGAGTCCTCGATGTCCGGGACCCCGCCGGTCCAGGACCAGTCCTGCACGTTACAGTACATGCCATACCCCAAAGCGGGCCTCTTGGCCGCTAGGGGCTTTGGCCACTCACGTGTCGCGTAATGGACGATCGGGTCCATACGCGGGCACAACGTGGGCTGGGCTCTCCTCCTCCCTCGAGGGGTGGCGTAACCAGAGGTGAAGTCCTCCACCCTCTGGTTCGGTTGCGGAGGCAGGGGGGCATCCATGATGGCCGCCGCCGTGGCGTAGAGCCCAGGCATGTGGTCCAGCGGGAAGCGGTCCGGCTCCGGGTTGGACACCACCTCGTCCAGCGTGAGGAGAGAGCCGACCTCCGACACCTCTCCGTCCTCGCAGTCACCCCACTCAGCGGGCACGGGTGGAAGGTCGAGGGGGGCCCAGTCAATCGCAGACTCCTCGTCCTGAGAGGAGTCCGGACGGGGCGCTGTAGCGGCGAAGAACGCGCGCCTGCGTTCACTCTCCTCCCTGGGGAGAGCGACACACGAGGCGCAGGTGGCGCTCAACGCCGCATGGCCCGAACCCAGGCACAGGAAGCAGCTGGAGTGCTGGTCCTTGCGCTGGAGCTTGACCCGACAAGTCAAGCAACGACGACGTCCGACGCCGGATGGCGAAGGGGAACTCGGACGAGCATCAGAAGACATCTTTCCTCAGGTAATTGAATGTAGATCTCAATCGGCGCCAGAGTGAAAGAGGGGGTGCGGCCTTGTGCAGGGGCATTTATAGAGGAAGGTGGCTGGTGATTGGAGCAAATTATTTTGATCTCTCTGGCGTGTGACCTGGGGGTCACGAGTGATATCCCACTAGCGAAGTCCTAAGGGACGTAGCACCATGACGTAGAACGGGAAAAAGCCTAAGTGCTACGCACAGGCTCTGTTTTACACACAAATCTCTTTTTGACACACCTCTGCCGCCAAGCGTGTGTCAAAAAGATTTGTAAGTGTAATGTGGTTGTTCTAGCAGTACACCAGCAGATGGTGCTGTTGTAGCTGGTTATTACCTACACGCAAGCAAACCAACAAGTGTAGATAGAGAAAACCGAAGGATTTAAGAAGAAGAAAAGTTCAGGATGACAAGGAACACTAAAATTCCCACAAAATCCGACCTTTATGAAAGCTGTAGGTTATCTGTCAGCTGTTTTAGTTTACTTTGAGTTCTATGGGGAAAATTTCTGTGTAGCCAACGTGAATTTAGTCTGCAGTACGTGAGAATCCTTCAGCTCCAAGCTAGTAACACCCTATCCAGTTATTATAATAGATCCATGTATCATACAGTGGTGTGAATGACAGGATTTTGAAAATAGGAAAAAAATATCATAAACAGCTGCGGTAGTGTGTCTTGTCAAGGCAGTAGGTTTTGGTTTGCTTGCGTGTAGGTAATAACCAGCTACAACAGCACCATCTGCTGGTGTACTGCTAGAACAACCACATTACACTTACAAATCTTTTTGACACACGCTTGGCGGCAGAGGTGTGTCAAAAAGAGATTCGTGTGTAAAACAGAGCCTGTGCGTAGCACTTAGGCTTTTTTCGTTCTTCTCTTTGTACAACGCGGTTATTTACACACAGATTGTTCTGCTACAGATACAAATGTCAAATTACACACACACAAATCTGTTTACGCACGCACACAGTCCAAGTTACACTTGCGAATCTGCGAGGGCAGGACTGCGTCAAAAGATTCGTGTGTAAAAAAAAAACTTGTGTGTAAAACGTACTTTTTTTTTTCTTTACACACACACAAATCTTTCTACGCACACACAAATCTTTTTACGCACACACAAATCTTTTTACGCACACACAAATCTTGATACGTACATACAAATCTATTTACACACGCACAAATATTTCTTTTACACACACACAAATCTGGTTACGCACGCACAAATCTGGTTACGCACACACAAATCTGGTTACGCACGCACAAATCTGGTTACGCACGCACAAATCTTTTTACGCACACACAAATATTATTGAAACAATAATAGCTCCATAACAGAGACACAAAAAACAGACAAACGACACACACACACACATAGAATTAGAGAGACACACACGCCGAGAGAGGGACACACACACCCACACACACACACACACACACACATAGACAGAAGAGGCCAGACTCACCTTTGAACAGGCCCCAGAGGAGGCATCACACAGACTCAGGATGGACTTGTTCTGGGCCCGGTCCACCCAGCTCACCACCACTCTCTCACTGCTCAGCCACTTCACCATCGAGACGTAGAAGTCTCTGGGGACAGAACCGAGTGAGAGAGCGACAACAGAGAAGGCTGTAGTCAAGCCGTTTGTACGTGTGACATAAATGTGTGACCTGACAAACCGTTGTGGATGTGTTAACAGAGGACCGCTTTTGTTACTTTTAGATGTTTCATGACACTTTGAAGCAACTGTGGTTAAAGCTGAATTCTTCACTAAAACACATCCTGGGGTGGAACATTTTCACGTGTTTTGGTTTATCTGAAGGCCAAAGCCACTGGCATTGTGGAGACTATTGCTGACTGTCTTAAATTATATTCCCAGTATCACATAGACATTTAATCATACACCGCAAAATATTAAATAATAAGATTAACTAAATGCTTATATTAAGGGGGTTTTATTTTATTTTGACACATTCTGACATTTAGACATTCCAACGTAGACATTTCTGTATCTTTTTAAAACAAGAAATTGGTAGTTTTGTAACTTTGGAGAATTTTGTCTGGTAATGCTGTTAGAATGCTCTCATGTCAAAATACATTTGGCCAAATTTGAGCAATTTTTGACTTATTTTCTGTGTTTTTTTGTAGTGTATTTATGCACATTGATCACCCCGCTCCCTATGGACCAATGAGTCTGGTGTATGTTTGAATGATTGGTGAATTAAAACAATAATGTCAGTTAGAAAAAGCAATGTTATAAATACATTGCATTATTACAAAGTTATTATTCTACATTTATTAACATTTATGGACAGTGGTCATCCCAATCCCTGTGGATGTGTTTGTTATTATTTCATGTGTTCGAAACGGTTTGATTCTCTGATCTGTTGTTGGCGAATCCACAACATTGTAAAGTTCAGGACTAAGAGTGATGATGTATTTCACAGACCTCTTGATGAAGCTGTCTGGAGGCCCCAGCTCTGTGCTCCTGGAGCTGCCGTCCAGAGACACCACATGGACAGAGACCGAGGGGTTGGTCTGACCCATCTGCAACAAATATCAATGTTTCAATGTTCACAGCAACAAATATGAAAAATAAGATGTGAAAAATTGCTCAAATTGTGCAAAATCACATCATGCTTTAAAACAAGATTCCCCAATGGGACAAAGCCTGTTTTTGTATTTGATATAATATACGGGGCGCGTTTGTTATTGTCGATGTGCTACAGAAATTGACAAAGCAAAAATCATCTAAAAGATAGAGAAATGTCTCCCTTGGAATGAGAAAATTAAGCAACAGTTCTTCAAATCAGACTTCATGACTTTGTACCATTGGAGAATTTGGTTTTAAGAGATTAGGATAGAAAAAAACAAAAACACTGGATTAAAATGATTATTACCTCATATTTGATCATGTTTTATGTTTAAGGCTCAGAGGGTTCCTGCAGTAAAACAAAAGTAGAAGCTAGTTTTGCTTAATCACCACACGTTTGAGCCGTAGACTTTTTTTATTTCAGCTGATGTTGCCAGACGCAAAAGTCTCCCGCTGAAACATGTCCTAGATTTTTTTTTTACATTATTGTTTTATTAAAAGAACCTTCTAAGTCTTTGACATCATTATTATTAAATTCAGCTGTCATTCATTCAAACTTCGCAGTGTGAATAAGTGGCAATTCTTTCTACAAATGGGAACGGTAACTCCATCAATCAATCAAGCCCTTTACAACATTTACAGTACAATAAAATCACATAAAATTCATTAAAACATTCATGCAATCAACTCATACAACAGTTAAAAAGAGTTAACAATAATAGATGATAATAATAAATCATAAATATGAAATCTCTGCTTTGGTTACAGAGAACCGTGTGTAACTGTAATCTACCCTAAATATGTTTTTGTCCAAACGTATAACTTTAAATACAAATTTTAATACAACTTTAAAGAAAAGCCCGATAATGATTTAGCAAAGAACCTGAACGCACTGGTCAAACCCTCAGACTCGCACTAACGAGTTGTCGCTGCCTTAAAGGTTACGTCTGTGTCTGACTTTATTCTACACAGAGCTGATAATTATGATCCACTTTGGTCTTGGAAACAATGCGCCCCAGAAAACAAGCTTCTCATTTTTATATCTGTGTCATGTTTACGTAAAAAGCAGAACAAAGGACATCTTTTAATGAGGGCAGAGGGAAACGGCCTCCACCCCTGGCGCTTCGGATCCTTCACCTCTGAAACTCTGAAACTCTGAAACTATAGAAATGTGTGAGAGACATATACTGTGAACGTAGTGCTCTCTGCTGATTATGTTTGAGCTGCTGATGATCAGGGCGGAAAAGAATGAATTACTTTAATAATGAAAGAATCGGACGATTATTTGCTCAATTAATTGATTAGTTGTTTAGACTGTCTCTCCATGGCCTAAAAAGTAAAGTAAAGTACATCTGAGACATAGTAATATCTTTGGAATGCTCTAGAAACAGCAGTAAGCATGGGGGTGGAAACATCATATTTTGGGGCTGTTTTTCTGCAAAGAGACCAAGGCGATGGATCCGATGAAGGAAAGAAGGAATGGGGTCATACAATATTAAACATGACCAAGTCTTTTAGCATGACAATCAGCCCAAACACAACGCTCTAGAGGAGATCTGCAAGGAGGAACGGGCCAAAATACCAGCAACAATTTTTGAAAACCTTTTGAAGACGTGCAAAAAACGCTGCCAACAGAGTATGTAAAAAAATACTATTGAAATGGACTTTTGTTTTTGACTAAATACTTATTTTTCAACCATAATGTAATTTTTCCCATTGTGTCCGTCATAAATATAGATGTAGCTTTGATACTATCTCTCATTTTTTTTAAGTGGAAGGACTTGGACAATTGGTGGCTGACTAAATACTTTTTTGTATATCACGAATGATAACAATTGGGGTCTCTCTGTCTGCTGAGGTCTCTTTGTGGACTCTCAACTATTTTGGCTAAAAACATTTTAAACTTTTATAGTATTTCTCTAAAATTCTTGCCATTGCGGTCTTGCATTTGTACCTTGGGGTAGGGGTACTCGTTCCCTTTAGGGTACAGAGCCCCGGTGAAGCGCGGCAGGAGCATGTTCGGGACCAGAGAGTCGTTGATGGTCAGATAGGCCAGTTTAGAACCATCAGGAGACCACCAGTGAGACACAGGGCTCTTCAGGACCTCCACTGCAAAACAGGCACATTTTTGCATTCATTTTTGTAACCACCCTAAATCACAACAGTAGTTATCTGAGAGGACACTACAAAGCTGTCGATTATCCAACAGTCGAATCAAAACGTCGAATCAAATCGTTAAAACACAGGAAATGCAAAGGTAGAAAACACAAAGAGACATTGGTCCCAAAAGGGCAGAGACCAACATTCGTAAAGGTCCGTTCAGCAGAGAGGCTAAGAAGTTAAACCGTAGTCTATTGGATTTAAAGCTTCACTTTTTTAGTTAAGTCAAAGATAGGGAAAATAATTGGGCACTGAAAGAAACGGAAACTCAATTCTAATTTTCGAGAGAATTTATCATGTTCTTTCTCACTTACAAACGCTGGCAGCTTCGTAACAATATGTGAGAAGCAGCAGAGGAGCAACACACTTTAGAACATGTGTTGATAAATCCAATCTATTCTACTTGACTTTTGACTTAAGATCAAAGGACCACCGTTTGAGAATCACAGTAATATTAGAAGCAAAAGAAGCTGTTTTGTTATAATATATGTTTGCGTTTTCAAATTAATGAAGGTACACTTTTGTTAACCCACTTTGGAGCGACAACATCCAAAAGGCTCAATTTTGTCTTAATTTCTTAATCACTTAAAAGTGAAAAGAGACGGAGGCTTTATGTAAATAAGAGAAATTATAAGGATGGCTCAAAGTTTATGTAGAAATAAAATGTACCCATCTAAATGTATACGGTGGTGGCAATCGCAGATTTTCATTATTTTTATTTATTAATTTGTTTACTGTCGGACACAGGTCCATGGGACATGAACACACAAACAGAACTCACACAGAACCACACTCCATGGGCTGAGGAAATACAAGAAATAAATCATTGTGTGGAATGACGACTTTACTGTGGCGTCTACAGGGTGAACGAATGAACGAACAAATGTATGAATGAATGTCTGACCTTCGTAGAGCCAGTCTGAGATCCCGTTGTAGATGATGCCCTCCTGCCCTGAGGACGTGAGCCTCCAGGAACTGCTCTGGACGTCTGTTTGGAAATAAATGTTGTTCTCGAAGATGTACATCTGAAAAACAACACAAACGGTGGTAATTACTGAAAAAAACTGACATTTCCCCAAAGTGGTGACGAATAAAGGATCACTCTAGTTACAGCTTCTGGAAGAATCACATTTTATTATCGTCACACTCTGCTTTGATGGTTTTTGATTTATGCTGCAAGGTGTCAAGGTACACACACACACACATACAACACACACACACACACACACACAACACATACATACACGCACACACACACACACACACATTCACACACACAGTTATAAATAATGTCTACATAATTAGTGAACACACAATAAACACCGGACTGGGGTGTACTAATATCCAAGCTTTAGTATGTAAATAAGGTATGTTTTTTTATTTATGTTTTATTTTACAGCAGCAACATATTTATGACATATGTTTTCAATCTCTTAGGAGTTTTAGCTTTATGTGTATCTGGCCCCGACGATCTTTATTCAAAAGGTTTTCATTACTGCATTTCTCTTATTAGGGATTTAAGTATTTCACTCTCTCTGATTGGCACATTCCTGGATCTCTCTGTGATGGGTTTGAAGACTAATGCACTGATGGCGTCCGTAGAGACTGCAGCGAGAGCGAAAGCGTATTACCCCCGTGATAACAGAATGACTGATGCTCCATGTGACGCCGCTTTTTCAACCAGAGCCGATAAATGTATTGTCAAATGGTTAATTACGTCTGCGCTGAAAGGAATAATGGAGGAATCCTGAAGGAATCCTGGGAAGGATTTATATTTATATACATTGATAAACAGGAGTGATTGGTTCCACTGGAGTGTATTCAGTATGCAGACGTACAACCTCAAGGCAAGTTTATTTGTATAGCAAAGTTCATACACAATGTGCTGAACAGTACAAGATAATAATAACAATGCCCTGGTTTATCCAGCGCTTTTCAGGCCTCTCAAAGTCTCTTCACAGCTCTTTATTCATTCACTCCAAACACAGTGGTGATAGAATACCAACTTTAGTCACAGCTGCCCTGGGGCACACTGACAGAAGCGAGGCAACCAGTCTGTGCCACCAAGCATTCACACACACTAATGTGGGGGAAGTGTCTTGCCTCAGGTTTGGCACTTTACAGCCGCAGCTGCCTGACTGTGGCACCTGGTGTTCCCAGAGGTTTCCCATCACAGTACTAACCAGGCTCTGTCCTGCTTAGCTTCAGATGTGTGACAGGATTTAGCTTTCACCTGCAGGGGGCTCCACATTCATGTTTTATGACTCAAAGCATCTATTTAAAAGATGTGTTCACGCCCCCTGGAGACAGCGTCACGACCATAGACTGCCAATATTAAGGACATAGGCACTCCTATCTCCGCTGTTGAAACTAACATGACATCCCTTTTGCCTTCTAAAATGTGAAAAAATGCATTTGCTCATGCGTCAGCTGCAGATGCCTTCTGAAGGCACAGCGGCCAAACTAGACTGTTCCAAAAAACATACCCCCTTCAACATCGACAGAATCTGGAACATAGCTTTGGACCATGAGCCACTTTTGGACCATCCTGTAAAGACGTTTTCGAGAGGGAAGAAGACGTGCTCATTAACTTTTTTAACCCGGGACCCGCCCCACTAATCACTACATATAAAATACTGGAACTTAATTCATTGCCAACATAGACGACATTTTTTCTGACTTCAAAGATAGGTACCGGAGGTTTAAAGCCAAAGTCAAGGCCTCTGCATACTCTGATGTGCTCCTTGAGGTATTACATGATTCATATTCATCGTTCCATTGTCGGTGTCCAACATAACCTCCAACTCTGCCCTCTGCGGTCAAGGTTGACTTTAGCAGAGTGCAGAGCTGGAGAGATGGAATGTGAGGATCAAATAAAGCACATGGTTCTAAAGAATATTTAGTCATTCCGTGTTTGAGCTGACATTCCATTGGAGGATTCAGAACTCACCAGCTGCTGTCCGCGAACGCCCCACGAGGCAAACTGCAGCACAGAGTCTGAGACTTCAGGAGGGTTCAGCTCCCGTACCTCTCTGACCGGGACACAGCACAGGTCAAATATACAACCTATGAACTTACTTATACATACTAGTAAAATATATTCACTATTTACCTTGTGTAGAGGTTGTAGATGAGGTAAGACGCCAAGAAGGACTTCTGAAACACCTGCAAGACAAAGCACCAGTCAAGCTGTAATTCTTAAAGTATTCATAATAATAATGCATTGGTTTTATACAGTTCTTTTCACCAAAACTCAAAGTCTCTTCACATCATCATTCTATCACTCCATACACAGTACACACCACTATAGCCACAGCTGCTCTGGGGCACACTGACAGAAGCGAGGCAATCAGTCTGTGCCATCAGCCCCTCCCACCACCACCAACCATTCACACACACCAGACTCATTCTAATGTGGGGAAAGTATCTTGCCTAAGGACACAGCCACAGTTTTGGCACTTTACAGATGTCCCAGAGGTCTCCCATCACAGCACTAACCAGGCACCTCAAAATTCTCTTAATTGTCCCACTCGGGAAGAAGATTTAGCAAGAAAGCATTTACAAGCACACACAGTAAAATCACAAATGACATTGAAGAAGAGGAACTTTCAAAGATAGTTTAAGCACAGTGCAAATATGTTGTAAAGTGCAATAGTTTGTATAAAGTGCCGTTAAGGTGCATCACAGCTGTTGGATTAATGTAGTTCTCAACTGTTTTGTTTGTCCTGTACCCGGGGACCCTACTGTCCCGAGGGTAAAGTTATAACAGCATCCTCTCACTGCAAAGAATGACAAAATTATGAAGTAGTATTTGCTTGAATCCAGTGTTTTTTATCTTAATTTGACACATTCTCTGCTAAAACCAGATTCTCCAATGGGACAAAAACATTTAGTCTGCTTTCAAGAGCTGTTGTTTTATTTCCTCATTCCAACGGAGGCATTTCCGTGTCTTTTGAAAACAAGATCCTTTTGGTTTGTCCCATTGGGGAATCTTGTTTTAAGGCTCAGTGACAATGTGTTCACATTAAGAAACATTTTGCCAAATTTGAGCAATATTTCACGTATTTTGTATCACTGTTTGCAGTATATGGGGTGATCCATCAAACACATGATGGCCTTTATCAGCACGTCCTCGCAGTCATCATTCATCTGCAAACTTTTTTTTTTTTTTCAATTCAAGTGTTTATTTGTCGAAAAAACGCAAAATCTATCATATGAAAAAATCCGCACAGAATTGGGAGGACCTACACAAATAGTGGAATTAAGTTGGAGATGTTAAACTTGCTTCCTTGTTCTGCTAAAGTTAGAGATGTAATTTAATTGTAGTTATCGTTCATTAATCTGTGTGCTCCTCATTCTACTGTTCTGTCCCTGCTGATGCAACACTGACATTTCCCCGCTGTGGGACATATAAAGACAAGATATTCCTTTACTCGTCCCACAGTGGGACACGATGAGATTTCAGGGTCATCGTCACACATTACAGCAACTCAGGTTGCACACATCAAACAGGGTCTATTATTCAAAGGAGTGGTATGTAAAAATCTGGCCAAAAGTGGTACTGCACTCTCCCTGACTCAGGTTGCCAGATATGCAGACAAATCCAGCTCGGACCATAATATCTGAATAAAGAGTTTTGTCAACAACAAATCTATAACCAACACCTTTCCCACAAAGAAAGAAATCCTGGTTTTATTCCTTGTTTTGTCGTTAATGATTTGAGAATCATAACGAGAGCTTTTTTAGTTCTGCGGCCACATGGTACTTTACCAGTGAGACTAGCTCGACACGGTGAGTTCTGGCAACCCTAATCACTGACCCTCTAATTGGTCAATGGTGGAGGGCGGGACATCGAAAACATCACAAGAAAACTGTAAAACTAATTTTGAAATCCAAATATCTCTGAACCAAGGCCAATGCTCTACCAACTGAGCCACTGTTTCTTAATCTTAATCTTGAATAGGCCTTAGATTAAGACAGAAATGAAACACTTAAACAAATATCACATCTCAGGGACATTCTTTAAAAAGTTCAATGTGTTTTAACTGTGACAAAAACAAACAATGAAATGTGGTGAAATTGGATTTGCTCTCGGCAGCAGCGAGCAGATGTAATTCACTTTGAATATGTGCAAACTCCACTCGCCTCGAGCAAAGTTCTGAATATTCAAAGACTTTTCCAGTCATTGTTCTGAGCTCCGCGGGAACCTTTGTTTAGAACAGACATTTTATTAGAGCAGAGAAAGCCAACACAAAGCTGTACATCTACAACACACCTAGAAATCAGCAGGAGAAGCGCAGAAGCTGTGATTAAACAATGAGGCCTTTAAAACATTCAAAAGTAGTTGGACTTAATTCACAGCCTTTTTCTGGAAAAGCTTCAAATGTGAAATATGTGCGTGGTATTTCTTCAATTTCCTGTCTTTCCTTCTTTCTGTATCTATTTCAATCTGGAGAGACTCGAACTGAACATGGATATTTTAAGAATTATTAGAAATTCTCCCCACTCAGAGCGCAAGTTACAGGATTTCTTCCTTTTTATGTAAGTAAGTAAGTAAGTAATCTTTATTTATATACCGCCTTTTCACTGCACATCGGAGTCTCAAAGCGGTTTACAATTGTTATTTTTGGGAGTGGGGGTGCCAGCACAGGAGGCACATGCCATACCTATTGTACATATTTTTAGTGGTAGGGGAAACCAGAGCACCCGGAGGAAACCTACGCAGACACGGGGAGAACATGCAAACTCCACTCAGAAAGGCCCTAGTCCAACCGGGATTCGAACCCAGGACCTTCTTGCTGAGAGGCAACAGTAGTGTTATCCACTTAGCCACCGTGCCGCCCTTTTCGGACCAACATTTTTTAAATAAATAAGTTGGCAATAATCTGACACAAAATAAGTCACAGGTATGACTCTAAAGACAATATTTCCAAGATTACATACTGTATGTTGTTGCTGTACAGAATGTGTTTAGGATTTGGCCTTGGACCTCAGCAGAGAGACCAGCAGAAGGGTAAACAGATTGTGAGATGAGATCCCCGGGGCCTAAACCCTGGTGGTGGTCCTCTGAGGCCTAGACCCTGGGGGTGTGAGCAAGGAGAAGGATGAAGAAGCTGGAATGAAGTGGAGATGAGGAGGAGGAGGGTTGCAGCATGAATGAAGCTACTGCTTCTTGGAAGGAGCTTCCTCACTGTATGAAGCTGATGTGGGCAGTGCCTGATGCTGCCAGTGTGACTGACAGATGATGTTGCCATTAGCGACAGTGGGAGGACTGTGAGCTTAATTGTTCTGTCTTTAAGTCTGAACTTCCTGAGCTTTAGCTTCATGTCAATATCTAGGTCTAAATCTGTCTGTCTAATAACGCAGGAAATCCACAGAGTCTGTCAAGCGTATTTCTCGCTGAAATATTCTGTGATCGGCCCGAACGTTGGTGAACGGCTTGCAAAAGTATACAATTGTTTCAAGGGAACAAAATATTCAAACTTCTCGTCTGAAAACAAAAGCATCTTTTTAGCTGCTGAACATAAACAAGCTGACAAACACTTGGATAAATTCGTCTTTAACTTTGCAGAGGCCAAACTCTTCCGGGTGAATTTGAAATTTAACAACACAGATAAATCCTGGAGACAAATGAAGATCCGCTGTAAAGTATTTCGACCTTGGTGCCGCTCCCTCTGGACCAATGGCTCCTATGTCTGTGACTGATCTACCACTGAGTCCCGGAGCCGAGCCCTCTCTGAGGTTTCTCACTTTCTTTCTTTGCATTATTTCGTAACCTTTCGAGTCGTTTGTTGCTGATGCAGGAGGGTAACAATAATCCAGGACATTTATGAACAATGGTCATCCGGCCCTTATGAACCAATGACTCTTTAAAGAAGCTATACCCGATTATTTTTCTAAGTAGTTCATAAAAATGCTTTTTACTACATACAAGTTGTATCATAATACATCATTTAATTGAAAACTTGAGGTAATTGATTCAGCTGTGTAAGAATTACAAGCAGTGAAAAGTGCTGAGTAGAGTCTGAGCGGGACGCTCTTTCTCCTCCGCTCACAGAACGAGCAGCGAACAGCCTGCGTCCTCTAGCCTCTACAGCGCTGCTTAACAGCAGGGCTTCGACTTCAAAATTCGAATATAAATTCTAAAATAAAAAATGATGAACAAAATAATTGAATAAAAAAATGTGAACAAATATTAGACAACCCTTGTAATTCGAAATGTATTTAATGACTGCAAATAAAATAGTTAGCTCCCAAAGGTTTCACCGGGACGTGCTAGGCAGGTAACAGCTAAGCTAGCTAGTTGTTTCATGGTAACTTCCGGGTTTTTCGCAATCGCTTTTTGTCACATTGAAACAGTATTTTTGTCATGAAAACGTTAACAGCAAATTCTGAAGTCATCCGTGCATGTGTGTTAAGGATGTATATGTGTACTGTATTGTCCGATTGACGTTTAATGGTGTTGATTGATAGATATGTAGTTGTTTATTGAGCGTGGCTAGCTCCGCTAGCTCCATTGGCTTCTCTACACAGACGAGTGATAGTGACAGGTGCTGATAGCTTGTTGTACTTGCAGAGTAATGGCAGTATTTTACACACCTGAATTACAAACAGAGATTGCATTGGGGCTTCGGTCATTATTGGTTTGAGAGTTTTGTTATCAAGAAAAAATTATCGGAAGAATTGCTGCTTCTGCTTTGAGGAGCTCTATAACAAATTATAATTCAATATTAGAATATATTCTAAGGTTTTAAATTAATACATTCGGACGCAAAACTAGCGGTATTCTTTTACTTATATATTGTGTTAGCAGTGCGTTGCTTTAGTGCCATTTCATCAGTGATTGTTGCACAGTTTACAAGAAGTTGCGCTAATTCTAATGTTAGCATATGTATCAGATCGCAAATAAAACTAGGTGGCTCTGTGTTATGAGAGCGTAGGGGAAATAAGAAGCCATTGAGCGAGTTGGGGGGCGGTGCTAAACATTCAAAAATTGCAGAAACGGGTATAGCGCCTTTAATGATTTATTGACACTTTGAAGAAACTGTGGTTAAAGTTCTAACTCATCATTCAACAATATGCACAAGCCAGCACTTTTCCACAGCATGTTTTGATTTCTGAAGGCCAAGCTACATGGCATCGCGGCGACAACGACAATAAAACAT